TAAAACAAATGTTACAAGTGTGAGAAAAAAATCCAATTCTCTGTATCAAGCCATATTTGGGCATTACATGACAAAGCAACATTTATTTATGGGTGATTTCATCACGGTTGCCATGGTGAGCCGTATACTGACCATAGAGGCACTGGGTGGGTTCTGTCAAGGTCTCTGTGAGGCCCTCATCAGGGATGGTCCAGATACAGATTTTAGCATCAATAGTGGCTAGAAATAGAGAAAATACACTTTTGTTTTATAAAATTCCACAAAAATGTACATCACAAAGAGAGAAAATCTTTTTATTAAATACCTCTGTTTACTAAAATTCCATAAAAATGTACAGGGTACATAGCAACAAAATTTAAAAAATCTGTTTAATAAATATCTATGAAATTGTACATTTTAATGAAATTTTTAAAAATTCCCTCTTTTTCATCTTTTCACATGCTTAAATCACAAACAAAATTCGAGTTAACTTTACATTTATACTTAGCAAGGTAACGTTGGTTGTTAATATAAATACTTTCTCTCCTTACCAACAGCCAGCTTTCTGTTGTTGAAAGGATCAAACATAAAGTCCATCACTGTGTTGCCATGTTGTAATACTGGAAGCCCTGCATCTGGCAGACGACCAGGCTTATTTAACTGTGGAATGAGAAAAACGAGCAATAGAATATACAGCAAATATAACAATGCATGATCTCAGTATTATGTCTTTCAATTAAAATTAAGTATCAGACCTTTTCTATCATAAAAATTAAATAACTATGATCTTTTTTTTATTTCAATTACACATTTTTTATCATATGTAGTGCTTAATTGTAAAAAAATCACTAAATTTCCAGATAACAAATAAAAATTTCTAAATACAAAACAAAGCACTAGTTTGTTACGTAAAAAAGCAAACAATATTGAAAATGGAAAAAAACATTATGAATGTAATGATTTTCTGATGTTCTGTATAACTTTTTTAATCTCAAAGAGAAAACAACAGACATCATCTTTACAATATGCCCCACATGATAATTCTAATGATTTGACTTCAGTTTTCTTTAAGCAAGGAGGTCTGACTTATTTAAGGGTAACTCTATAATTCTGCATTTCCTTTTTATCAACAAAATATTATATTTTCTTATAGTATGATCATATGGCATCAAAAATACTAAGAAACACCGAGTAATTGTCATACCTCGCAGATAGCGATCAGTCCACCAGCCCCCCTCAGGGGCACAGCACACACCTCCTTGTTGGCATGGAAAGCATCACTCTCCCCTGGGACTGTGGTACTACTGTTACGGATGTTTTCGATGTGCTGCGACTTGTGAGCTGGTGTGCCTTTGAGATAGCGGAACTTGGACAACCTGACTCCTAATCAGGGGAAATACATACAATGAAATTTTAAGCAAAAGCTTTTGTTTTCTGATGCAATTTTTTCACCATGTTGCAGAAGAAGAAGCATGTTCATTAGTAATACATGAATATAGTATTATCAGAGCAACAAAAAGTGAAAAAAAAACAACGGCAGCTGTATCATATTTCTGTTGGCTGCTCATGCACTTTGTATACTAATGCACACATATATAAAAATATTACATTTGCTGACAAATCTATACATACAGGCATGCATATGTGAACACAGACCTTTGAAAGGCTTTACACTTGCTTTCCTTGGCTGCGCAGGAGCCGAGGGCTTTGCTGGAGGTTTTTCTGGCTGGTCAGCTGGCTTGCTTGCCTCTGGCGTGCTGACTGATGATCTCTTCAGTTCTATCTTCATCTCTGACTTTACTACCTTAGGTTCGTCTGGTTTTGGTTCTGGTACAGGTTCTGCAGGTGGCTGCTTGACCTCTGTGACCACTGGCTCCACTGGCTGTGCATGACAAGTAGAGGAGATGACCATAAGGGTGGTGTTTAATAAGTATACTGTAATCATATGGTTTTGAGTGACTCTAACATTTTTATGGTCAATAATGTGTTGTCTGATGTCTTCATGCTAATTATCCAAGATAAATGTCCAATGTTCTTATTCCATAATACAAAGTAATGCACAAAATATAAATGTACAGGTGTATTACCCTGCTAAGTTGTAGAAATACATCATAATGCTTGGATGATAAAACAAACAAACAGAGATGTAGGAACTGTTTTTTTTTTCACCTTTCTTTGGATAAAAAGAGTAGGAGGTTCTGGTATGAAAAATAATGTAAAGCTCTCAGACAATGGTGATTTAAATGCAAAAAAAATTTTGTAACCTATATTTCTTTACACATATTTACCTTTACTACAGGTTCTGGTTTTGGTGGTGGCACTGTCTCTTTCTTAGCAACTTTATCTTTTCTCTTTGATGGATCAAGACTAATCTTTTCAACCTGGAATGGGCATGTTAAAACATGTGTCAAAAATTTCACAGCTTCACAGCCAATATATACATATAGAGTAACATTTGTTTGTGATATACGTAACGTTTGTGATATACATAATATACATAATGAAATTAACAAAATCAGAAATGTCAACAAAAGTTTTAACATCTTTAAATAGTAGTAACATTGCACTTCTATAAAAACTTGCTGAAAGGATCAGTTTTATATCTATAAATATAAAATAATAAGGAGTTTTGTACCAGTTTATTCTCTCCAGCACACCACTCTTCAGCTGTCATGGCTGCCTGTCCGCCATTGGTGTCAGGAAACAAGTCTGCGTGGAACTCTGTGTAAGACTACAAACATCAAAACATCACAATGAATTACGTATTTCCCCAATTTATAACACGCTGTACCTGTTTGGTACTTGGTACCTGTTTGGTATTTTACAGATAAATGCAAATAAATGAATAATGAAATATAATTGTCCTATTCAAAATTTGAGCGAAAATGTCTTTAAATAATTACTAATTAAGTAGTAATGCTAAGTACTGTAATATCATATTTAAGCTCTGTTATATTATATTGTAATATATTTTTGCAATTGATATTAATCACCATGGCAGTAGGGTTTTTGTTATGCTAAATTATCTCTATTTCAACTGAAATAGAGAGAGAGGGATAATTAAGAAATTTAAAAAGATTTTTAAAAATCACCTTTCTGGGCACTATGTAAGGCACTGGGACCACAGCAGACTGTGACAGTATGAGGATTCTGCTCACTTCTCCAATCATCACATCAACAGCTCTTTTAGGGATCATTGCTGCCCCTTTTATTTGCTCCACAGTATCTGCTGTTCCTGAATAATGTATCACCAAATAAATAGAAAACCACACAATTTATCATATTAATAACAAACTTTGGTGTTTTGAATCTTAAAAAGTTTGGGTCTATCTTTTAAAAAAGGATGCAACATTTTTCTTACCCTCTGTCAAATATGGAGCTTTGTCCTGAACTTCGACAAATTTCAAGTTCCTGTCCCCCTTGAAAAGAATAAAGTAAAAGTCTTAATTAATGAACAAGATTCTAAAATTTTTGAGCGTAGAGTTGATTTTCAATTGTGATATTATTAATCAAATATAAGATTAATATTTGATAGATGAAACAAGAAAAATTCATATTTCTTGACAACTTAAGGGATAATATTCTTATCCTTCACAAAATTTTAAAGAATCAAATGACTATCAAGAAATAACTTTACCTTGCCAGCAAGGAAAAGCATATTAGTATCTGGGTCAAACAGCGGCATTAGAGTCCTGGAAATACACCAATTTATTTACAAACATTGATAAATGCTAGATGAAATCAAAACTGCTCTATCAATTGAGACATATAATAAGGCCAGGATGTCCACTACACAGTCATAAACTAGTGCACTTTTTCATTATTTATCAAGCTGGGCATGGACAGGCTTATTATAATGCCAAAAGTATGAATAAGTCAATACTACCATTTGTAGAGAGTGATTTTTTCGTCAAAGCACTCATCATAACAATAATGCCCAAGGATTGCTACAGATTACTTGTATGGTCAATGCTCTTTCTGCACACTGGTTTATATTCAAGCATAAAATTCAAGTAATATGATTGGTTGTACTTTTCTTATAAACACCTTCATTGAGGACACTCTATTCTGCATAAAAACATGATAAAGAAAGAAGATCCTAAATGTATGGATTACTATGAAGTATACTGCTTTAATATCATATGTACACTGTCACAATTTATAAGGAAGATCCTTGTAGGTATTTATGCTTGTGAAACACAGTGCCTGTATAAATGTGTACATTGTCCACAGCTTATACTGCTGTGCAAGCTGAGTTAGATGAAATCTCATATTGTATTATAATGAATCAAATACAACTTGGAAAAATATAACAGAAGTAGAGAAAAGATGGCTCTCACCCGGTTGCGTTGTCAATGTCAGATACATGCAGGTGTTCACTCATCTTTCGGATGTCTCTCAAAATAACTTGCCTATCTCTGTTCTGTAAGGGCAGATTAGATAAATATTATGAATTTGACAATTATGATATTTTTGTAAAAATCAAAATATTATTAATAAAAATTATGTGAAAATTCTTTTTCTTGAAATCACTTCATTTTTGACTATGAATGTGATCACAAAAATCTACAAATATTTAACCAAAATGTGTAGATTATGCGCTTGAAGGTTTTCATTATCATAAATTGGGAAATATCAGCATAGCAATATATTACTGTAAAGTCATAGCCTATTTGTACAATAGCTTAAACCAATAAAGGTTACCATTATTATAATAAATTAATAAAGCCATAATGAGACAATAATATAAAAGAGTTAATTTAAAACAGAAATTGTGTATAATTATTTGTTCAAATTATATGGAAAAGTAAAATATCAATAAAACTTCTTCCTACGGAACTAAATCCTGTGGACGCGATGTTCATGGAGTCTCCAAGCCACACCACTCTGGAATCCCTGACATTTGCATGGCCTTCCACTTCCTGCAATATTCGTTTAAGTCAGAAACATTAGAAAAATGTTGCAAATTCATATTTTCTCTAAACACAAAAAAGACTGTCATACATTTTGATACGTCATTATCATATAAAGCAAACCGTTTGTTTCTTCCTTATTTGCAATACAGTTAATATTCAGTGTTTGGAGTTGATAATGAGGCATTCCTCTCTATCTGTGCAAGAGGCAATTATAATTAATTAGCTTAATACCTCTGTCTTAGATCCTGCTCTAGGGTCAAATATTCTGATCTTTCTATCTTTGGCCGAAGTGACCAGCAGACTGCCATCTCCCTTCCAAGACATGCTTAGGACCTGGTCTTCGTGGTCATCCAGTACTGGACAGGTGGAAATTAAAACTTAATCAGTCTTAAGAAGGGTGCAGACATACACTGTACTACTACTACTTAATAATAATAACAACAACAACAACAACATCAAAGAACAACAACAACAACAACAATTATAATAATTATATATTCATGATAATATTCTTATATTAATATTGTATTACCACAGACAATACAATTATGCATTTAGATCATATCCTTAAATAACATGCTTAAGAGACATACATACCATAGAGCTCTCTTGGCTGTGAAACATCCCATATCTTAACATGAGTCCCTGAGGAGACAGTGAGGATGTTGTCGGCAGATGGATGCCACAGTACATTCTCTATTCTCCTGCCTTCTGCAGGAAGGCACAGCACAGGGTCATGTATGCTCTCTGTCAGACCCCCGTCTGGAATGTCCCATAGCTTCACCTGGGAACATGATATCAATCTTAAAAATAGCCTTAATCTGAGTAACAAAATCTGTGATTACTTATAAAATATCTAAAGGACTCAATTGTTTCAACTGATAAAATTATATTATGAAAATTAAACTATAATTACAACATTCCAATTCAGAAGTTTTTTATACAGAGATGCAACATCTAAATGTTGTTTTGATTATATAAATACTAGTTTTGATGATGCAAAAGGTTAAGACTAAGAGAGTGCATTATAAAGCTTCAAACAGCATTTAAAGTCAAAGATCTATATAATATCCAGGTTAGAAAACCACAACTGGACATATGTTAAAGGATATCTTTCATATTTGCTACAAAGAAATTCCCATGGAAAAAGAAATATTTACCGTGCAATCAAAAGATCCAGTTGCAAGAAGGTTGTCATTAAAAGGACTAAAATCCATGTCAGATACAAAATCTGAAAACACAAAAAAGAGAAAAATCAAAGTACATTTTTTTCAATACACTGATAAACAAAACTTCAGCTATTTCCCCCCACCCTTTTTTTTTCTCATCTGCATTCTTATATAGTACATACATAGTACGGATTGTAAAACCAACCACAAATCAAAATGCAAAAAGTGGATACTCCTGAATGATATATACATAATTATATAGTTTTTTCATACTAGATAAATACTGACAAAGGAATACTGTTGGGCGTTATCACAGTATATAGAGTGTGATAAAAGGGGAAAAGATAAATGACTGAAAACAGTTATTTTAAATTTTTCATACCGGCATGTGCCTGCACTAAAGGCATTGTCTTGGCCTGTCTTCCTGCTGAATCCAAGGGGAGCACAGACACACTTCCACCACCTACAGCAGACAATTTAAAATGTGTCACTTTAGAATTCAATGTCATCTATTAATAGTTACATATCCTATCACTTTAAGTTGAAAATAAGATATAATGTAAATTGTAACAGCAAAGGGGTGATGGCATTGTCTACCATACCATTGCACAACTCAAAGCTAAATCAATCACACCATGGGAACACAATATAACACAAAGATAATACAGAAACTAACACAGTAATATGGATATTCTGGTGAAAGAAAAGATGTAAATGGTGAATTTATTCGAATCACATTAATCGTAACTAACCTGCTGATGGTCCATTGAATGCCATCAGAGTGCAGCTGGCCTTGATGTGATTTCCACATGACTGCATCAAATTTGCAATGGTCAAATCACTTATCCAAAACTAAAAACAGAAGAGGAAATGTTCACATACATGTACATACATGTAGATAAATATTTACTAGTATACAAATTGTAGTTATCTTTACTATTTATAATACATTTAGGATGAAATTATGACTGTCCAACTATTCAAATGTGTAATATGTGAAATAATATAGTTTCAACCTCGATTATAACATTTTAATAACAATGGCTTCGAATTCAAATCTAGACTTTATAAAGACCAATACTGTATAAAAAGGAAATTTTCATTAACTTGATTGAGAGTCAAAAGAATGATAAAATAACTGACAAAACATTCATACCTCCTTTTTTGGCAGATGAGGGGTGGTATTTTTGAACTTTGAAACTTTGAACTTCCACATCGTGAAATGCAGGATGCTTTGGAGAAAAAAGGAAGAAAAACATTAAAAAAATTTTTAAGTCAAAGTGTGTCAGCAAACAAGGAAGTGAGCCGGTTACCCTTTGTTACATAGCCCACAGCTAATTTAATCATTTCAACTTGCGCATTTTTTTCATCTAAATTGCAAAATGACTGATTTTAGTGAACATAACGGTATTTCATACTTACTCTGCTATCTAGGCTACTGTTGTATTTATTTAGGGAGACCCTCCCCCTATTTCTGTCACAAATGTGAGTGCACGGTTTCTGGTTGTGACCTACTTATGGAAATGAGGACAGGGAGAATTTATTAGCTTGGATTTGCTTACTAACAGATGCTAAATACAACGATGGCTTGTGATGCTGCAAATAAAATTTAAGTAATAGCAAATGTGTTTGGTGTAAATATGATACAAATAAACGTGTCGTCGGATCAATAAAGGAAAAAAAGAAATATTATTTCCCATGATTGCTCCCCATTTGTCGGCCCACGGAATTGACCAATGGTAAGTGATTCTCGGAACACTTCCGGTGAGCGGCAGTGAGAACGAGGCAACATTAGAGGCCCAAGAAAACAATCAGCAAGGTAAGTTCAAGAAAAAAATGTTTTGGAGTTTGCCTAGGACAAAATTATTGTGCATGGACCATAATCATAAAATGGACTTTGTCTGCAATTATACAGCATTTTTTGCATGTGTGTCGTTACTACGGTCGTTCCTACCAGGTTAAACACCGACAGCAAATGACACTCGGTGACACTGCCAAAGTCACATTCACAGTACCCCTTCAGTACCTGAAGTCTAGTGTCAAATAAATAAATAAATTAGTAAATAATAGATTTCATCATGAAATGAAAAGACATATAAATAAGCTGCAAAATGACTAGTCTACTATTATGCTACTTAAGTTATCAAAACAAGTTATTAATATTTTTAGTTTTTTTAACAAAATGTTTTTTTTAAATTTATCAAATTGATTGCCATATATGTCGTTAAGTGCATAGTCTATAGATACACCACAAATCATCAAGGTATAAGTGATATCAAGAATGTGTTAGTATTTCTGCATTTTTAACGTTGTTATCTAAATACTGCTGATGATTTACGCCACCTAGGCCGTGGAGGGAAAACCTCATACATAATTTATCTTGCATTCATGTTTTTGTTCATAGTTCCACACGTATAAGGAACATTTCACTCCTTACAACTTGCCAATGTACACACAAGTGCATGTGTCAAATGACCCCCAAACCAAGTGCACCTTTATGTCACTTGCTACTGACATATTATCATCATATGTATCCTCATGTTTAACTCTTAAGTATCCAAGTCATTTCTACATGAAGCCTAGATTAAAGATTTGAAAGCTTGTGGTATATTTTGTTGAGCCTACCAGCAACCAAAAAGCAAAACTACATGTAGCAATACACTGACCAAAAGTGGAAAAAGAGATTTTAAAATAGGTCTCAAAAGTATTGCACCAGTGGCAATCATGTAAATTTATGTAAAGTCTGTTCATGTGTCTTGTCCGATTTGGCTTTTCAGACCTCTAGGCATTTTTAGCAATTATTTTTCTTTATATGTACTAGGTGTTTTGTAAAACATAATTTATTGGCTTTGTTCAATTTTGGAAGAGTAATGTCCATAAGTAATTTGCCTTCAAGGCAATATGAAAAGTTGATCAAAGTCACTTAACAACATCTTTTCGTGAAATTTGTCAAATACTTTGCATGTTTATACAGGGATATGATCTCATATAACACTGAATGAACTCTTAAGGCTCACAAGACTATGATCTAAGATGTTATATTGCAAATACCTAGGTTATTAATCAATATTCTGTGATCTTAAATTCTACATTACAAGCAGTAAAGTGATGGAAAAGGCTGCTCTCAGGCTTAATTTTGGGATTTATACTACATAATGCATTGTTTAATTAATTGTTGTATTGATCTTTTGAGTCACTGCTTCAGGATGAAAAGGCCAATTTTGCTTATTGCTTTATGTAATGATGTTATTGCTGACTGGATTTTGTGGTATTGATCATGTTAAACATGCGTAAATTGATGTCACAAATATGCAGAACACGTTCGGAATTCAGAGGATACTTTCTTATTCACGTATAATTTTTTACTCTTTGTAAATGGTTAACCCAATATTTCTGCAATGATGATTCCATATGGCAGTCTACAGGAAGTTGATTTATGAAACTGGAAACAGATAACCTTTTGACATTCCCCTCCAGCTATTAACTTCAAACTGTAGAGGATTGAAAAACTTTGTTTAAATGTACCCATTAAAACTGACCTTAAACAACCCATTTGAATTCAAAGAATTAAACTTTTGATAACACATAATGACAATAGGAAGTATTTTTTCATCACAAAGTGCAATGTACTGTCTATAAGGTGATGTGATTACGGAAAAATTATCTCAATTCCAAGGATATTCAGCAAGCTATTTTTTTAAATTTAATTTTTAATTTTAATTGTATTAAATTTGGCACAAGAAATTAAATTTATTTTTTAAAAAATGTATGCAGTTTCTCATATCCTCTTCTTCACAGATGTTACCCTAACCAAATATCTACATCCAAAGACCCCAGACACAGTTGAAATGGCTGAGAGTAGAGAGGAACCACTGGGCCTGCCACAGAATGGCCAGAGTGAGTATTCATAGTCTAAATCTAGTTTTAATTTATTTTGTTATCTTTATTTCTATATTTTGCTATGTAAACAAACAGTAGCATTAGAAGTATAGCTAGCATAGTAGCTTGTGGCATTTTAAGCTGTATAAAATTTTATTAAATCTGTGGCCATAATTTAAAAATTGTATTTGAGATAAATATATATATATATATGTATATAGTTAAAACACTTTTTAACCATTTGTTAAATATTATTCTTGTGCCAGAAGGGGGTTATTTTGTTTTAACATTGTAGGCACGGGTTGCCTATGTATTCATAATTTTTTTAATTAAAAAATTATTTAAATATATCTGGGTATAGTACTATAACAATGATTAATAAATAATGTTAAAATATAAAAGCACCATATAAGATGGCAGAGAGAACATCTTAAGGAACTCACAATATTTTACTGATCAATCAGTGGTATAAGATAAAACCTTAAGTCTCGCAAAAAAATAATAAAAAATTGACGTGAAAGAAGTATTGAACTTCCCTGGTCATGTGCGCATGCTTTACATGTGGTGTCCAGACTGATAAAAGATTAATATATTGATACCAGCAGTTAATTAGAACCACAGGAGTCTGGGTGGGACCTGTCACATGATCCGTGCTGCCTATTGCCGCGGCTTAAAATAGAATATCATCCTGGTATGTGATTGATAGGGGACCAGGAAATGAGGCCAGTCGTTTCGTTTACAGATCAATATGGTTATGAGGTTTACTTTCATCTGCACGCATATGGGACACAAGTTATGGTAAGACTTTGTAGGTGTAGTTACCAGTATAGATATAAGGATTTATTTCGGGTTGATGTTTGCAACGACATGGAGTTGTTTATAATCATGGTGGTGTGAACAATATTGTCATTATTATGTGATTAGATATAATACCATGATGGTTATTAGTGTGTCTGGAGATAGGATTTAGCATTAATGTTCCAGACCTCATATCAGCTGCTATACATGTTCCATTTGAGGATTGTCTTGCAATACATATACATATTTTATAATATTTAAAGTTTATATATGTTTACATGGGCGCATGTGATATAAGATCAGTGTATATTTCACATATTGAGAAATAATCATCGAAAGGGTATTCCTTTCTGGTAGGGAATAAAAGTGCTTATATTAAGTATTGCATTTTTTTTTTAGAATATAATATACCATGTTTAAAGACTGACAAATTTTTACCCAGGACAGGTTAAGAATGACACCACTTTTATCTTCCCTTTTAAAGGAAAAGTTGAATTTTACTATATCTTCATTTCATGGGATTTTCGTCACTTCATATTCCAGGAAAGAAAGCAATTACACATTAATCATCTTAACTACCTTGAACTTAATTGGTAGGAAAAGAAGTTAGAAAATATGTTTTAGAAAGCAAAAAGCTTATGTAGAGGAATAAATTATGAAGTGATATTTATGTGGGATTTCATTACCTGATATAAACTCTAATAAAGATTACAATATTTATAATGGTTGACTCATACCTTCACCGCCAATACTTGATAAATATTTGCTTATTTTCCTAATCTTTCTATTAAAAGTGTAAAGAAAGTACATCAGATATTTTCTGTTTGGAATTTTGGAGAGTAATTTTTTCTAGAACGATGTTGAATTACTTTGGAATAATTTCTGAGCTCAGACACATGGGCCCATTATGAAATTACAAACACAATTACATCTTTTGAAGGATAAGGTTGGAACAAAATCACCAGCTGTGGTCAGTATTGGCCCAGATGTGGTCATTTGCAGGTCATAACCTAGCTGATTGGGGCACATTCAGGGGCTTGAAAGGACTGTGAACTATCTGCTTATAACATGTGTGATAACTGAAGTATTTCAAATTAAAATTGATTTTGTTGAATCAGGCCTAGTTTCTATGTTGCACTCGAGGTAATTAGTCACTTTTTATCTGATGATTGTGATCTAAATTCACCTGTAACCGAGATTTTTTTCTGGTTCCTTTTCCAGGATGATGTTTTTTTTTTACTCATAAAAATTAGAAATAGTTAAGGTTAAATAGTCAACACAAGTCATTCATTGCACTGAACAACAACTGCCATATGAAAGTCAAGGCCTTACTTTTGTTCTCTGAAATTCCTGTTATCCACATAATGGGATTATGAGTGATCTATTGGGGTAATGTCACATTCTTCACATTGATATCATTAATCCACTCTTTAATCTCTGTTTATCCTAGTAGGGGCACCAGGTACTCGGAGTCTGTTTTCTGATGAAGAAAAATGCATATGACTGAGTAATTTTGCATAACCACAAGATGACATTAGTGGAATAAATAAATATCGTCTAGAAAGCAGACGTCAGTAGGTGATGTTTTGATATAACCATCTATTGAGTCTGGTATTTTTAATGTTTGCACCAGATTTTGGGTGATTATACTAAAAAGAGAACAATAATTGGCAATTAAGTCAGAATAAAAATGATGAACACTATTGTATTTTCTATTACTCTGACTCTTCAGTTTCATTCTACATCCTAGTTAGCAAAATTATATTGTGGTTTGGCATTAATGCAATTTTCTTTCTTTAGAAATTAGAATAATAGTCATATTAGATTGATTTAATACCAATTCCCCTGCTCTCCTTCTTTTTGACGTCATCCAAGGATTGATCGTGTTTTGTCTCTTGCCAATCCTGTGTCCCAAAAAAATATTGTCCTCCTCACAATTTACAATTTGTTATTTTTGTTGGCCCTAGGCAGTATCATGTTGGAATATTTTGTCTTCAATTCCTCCCCTGTTTTGTCCTGATTTGTGATTGGCAACTTGAAGTATAGTATGTAGAGATCCACAAGCTGTTGTGTACTTGGAACTTCAGTCATATTTGAGCATGGTATAAGTATGAGATACGCCAGCTGGGGATGACATACATTGTCAGTGCACGACACATGAGGCGGGAATACTGCTATTATTGTTGTTGTTGTTTTCTTTATTGTTGTCATTGTTACCGTTAGTACTGTTACCGAGAATCGGAGTGCATTGTTTGCTGAAAAGCTATAGCGTTGTTGGTCTTTTAACTGCTCTGGGATAAGAATTGATAGGCAGAGCTGTTCTCATTTGTAAAAAAGAGGCTCTTTAAAAACTGGAACTTAAAATTTTGAGCAAGAACAATGTTTGGAAATGACTTTGCTGAAAGGGCTGAACCAGACACAAAAATGTGGATAGTTGAATAGGCTTTATTTGGTGAGTTGACAAGCATGAGTAAGAAAAGGGTAATTACTCTGTTGAATATGTTCTTTGACCTTATTTGATCTGTAGTGTTAAAGAAACTGGCATATCAACTTGACTGACAAGCCATTATGTTTTTTTTTTCTGCTACCAACGTCTGCTGACATTAAACAGTTGATAGCATGACGTAAGTTGGTTTGAATATTAACCGTCTTCTTTGACTGTATCAGAAAACTGAACCCACTCTTTCTGTATTACATGTTATAGTGTACATATCAATATCAATTTGGTTTCAGTCCAGCCAGCAGATGACTCTACTGAGGAACACACCAAGCAGCCATCACAGATAACTCTGCCCTGGGGAGGCAGTAAAGACAGGATGGCATTCCCGCCAACCTTTAATATAGACACCGATATCCGTCCAGGAGAATTTGTGATGAGGACGTTGTTTGCTGAATTCTTTGTTTTAGCGGAACAGAAAATTGAATTGGTCCTCACAGAGCCACTGGTGGGTAAACTCCAGTTCATTTTGAAACTTTATTGTAAAACTGGGTGTAAAATAGATCAGTACTATAAAATTTTTTAAAAACACCAAAATTTTTAGATAATTTTCTTCATTTGTCTGAGATGGTTTCTAAATTTAAGCAAAATTATAGCAGAAGCATTGACTTCAAATTTTTTAAAGGTTTTTTAACTAGTGAAGATGTATAACGTTTTTATTTTGGTTAAATCGAATGGCTGTCTTATCAAAATTAAAAGTGAATTTCAGGAATAACAGCATTTTTTGTAGCCAATCCAGAGAAATGTCATTTACAGTGACATAAACACCGTGGCACATCTTGTGTAATAGACAACAGTTATTTTTACTTTAAGGGATTGGTTTTATAAGTATTAGCATAATTATAGAGTGTGGATGTCATGTTATGTGTGGTTTAGGTTATTTTTGAACCAGAAGGTGTTCATTAAAAGTATCATAATTCACCTCAGGTTGACAGGTCATGATGCAAATTTCTTTAATTTTGTTGTTGCTGAAAATTTGAAAAGCTGTTTGCCTCAAGGCTTTGTTTTGTATATGAACTTCCATGCAAGTAACTCATAAAAGACATGACTTTTTGATAAGTAAACTTGTTTTATATTTACAAGATAAAAATAAAAAATTGTATGACATACAAACACTGCAACCCTAAAAAAATGAATTCACACAATATTGATGATAAATAAAGGTCCTTATTAATCTAATCAGTGTGATAATTTTTTTACAGGAAAGACCTCTGTCCAAGTCTTTACAGCGGAAAGAGGACACAGAGTTTGATCAGGTATGAACTTATATTCATTTAGAATGGAAAAGTGGTGACTACGAGAAATATTTTTATAGTATGATAAGATTTTTTTTTCAATAAAGGAAGGTGTTTGTTGATGCACTTATTTCATGTGGAGTATTTGCCTGATGTAGACAGTCACGTTATATTTCTTCAAATCCATACAGCACTACCAAAAATAAATCAAGTTTATTCAGATAAAATCAATATAATCTATGATGTATGGCAGAGAAAAATTATCTATAACACATTATTCAATTATCTTGGTCAGGTAATAAAACCCAGGGCAATCTGTTACATGGTTAATTGTATTATAATTAAAGTGGTAATGATAAAAGTGGTGAGGTAGTGACCAGTACAACATGGCGGCAGGCTGGGGATAATTGATTAATATTATAGCAATTAAGTTTTTAACTCTACAATTATTTCTTGTAGATGAACAACTGATGCCAATACCACATTAAAAATATTTAAGTTCCTTTACAGAAATGACTTTTATGTGTAAAATTAGGATAATTAATATTAGGATAGGATAGTTAAAATTTAAGAAATTTAGGCAACATATGTTTCTTGGTCCATTATTTTTAAAAATAAAGTAAAAGAATGTTAATGCACCAAAATTACTCTTAAATGATAAATTATTTAAATCAAAGTCAAGGAGGTAATAATAAGTGCAGAATATTGAATTATTGAATTCAAATAGCTGCCAGGTCACATCATAATGGAAATGTCAGTATGAGGTCTAACCACAATGTACATTATAGCTATGTTGATGATGGAGTGTTTACAGTTGATAAGGCACATGTGCAGTTAGGACAGTGCAGCTTTTGCTCTGCACTATTTGAACACAGTTTTTTGCTGAACTATCTTCAAGTCAAGACTGGTGTGCTGGTTGGAAATGAATTCATATTTGAAATTAAATAAAGATAAATAAAATAATGTTTTTACACTGATGGGTGCTTAATTCAGTAAAGTGATCATTAGCTAGTTCTTTTGTTTGTTCACCTCAGGGTAAAATTGATGTTTGATATTGAAACGAAAAACAATTAATAGAAAATTTAATTTATTACACTTAATTGAATCATGGGAAATAGTTGAACCAAAGCTCCTGAGGAGATATACATGTAGATATGTTTTCTTGTCTTATTTATGCTGGCAAGTAGCATCCTTATGTAACAGCATTCATAATCAGCCAATATAGAGGCAAACTGCTTGGTTGTGCAATAATGTGTCACCAACTTTGAATCATATTTAGCCATGTTTGGTCTATTTTGTAGCTGTTAAGCACATTGGGCAATGTGGCCGAGCACTGTCTTCCCTCTCTGCTGAGAACACTGTACAAGTGGTTTGATAGGCAGTGTCCACCAGATGGCTCTCTGCAACATGAGCTCAAACAAAAGATGAAAAGTAAAACGGCAGCGTAAGTTACTCTATAATTAAGAGGGTGAGGGTTGTCAATATTTGAATCTGTATTGGGGTGCATTTAATATATAAACTGTTTTTTAATGACATAAATTACTTGTTTATATAACTAAAATTACTCATATTGCAAAATTTGGTGTAAATTGTGCAGCTAGGTGTTTTGTTCTTATTAATTATTTGTTTTAAAAAAACAATGTTTTTATCTCTATTTAGGGACAGGACAGAAAGAGAATACTTGTTGGAAAGAAGAGAGGTGAGAACTGCATAAAATGATTTTATAAAGATTATATGATAAAATATTTTTGACCTTGGGCAAGATTTATATAATATCAATTGCATTACATGTCTGTTTTCTTATATATTTAAAGCCTTTTCTTGTGTTTAGTGCTAACAATTTCTATAATATATAAAGTAATTGTTCATTTAATACTTTCAGCTTGCTGTTGATTTCCTTTACTGCTTAGTTCTCATTGAGGTGTTGAAACAGGTAAGGGACGTGAAAAAAGAAAAAAAGAGAAAGGTGCTGTTTGAGAGTCAAATGTAACATGGTGTTAAATTTGTCACATTAATGAACAAGCTGTAAAGAATCAGTTTTTAAATTTATCTGAGCCAAATTGAATGTAAGATTTTTTTTTTTTTTTTTTTTGCCATTTGTGAGAATTTCATCCATATAATAGAAACTTTTTGTTTTTAGTTGCCGTTCCATCCAGGTCAAGACGACCTGATCAGCCACCTTCTCCTGCAGGCATTTAGGCATTTTAAATACAAAGACATGTGAGTGAGAAAACAGAGGGTGTAAAATTGTTTATCGTAAACAAAACATTTTGGTTGATTATCTTGGCAGGCAAAAATACAAAGAACTTGCAGCCCATATATAATACTCTGTCTGATAATAAGAAACTTTAAAATGAAATTGTTTTTTCTATGTTGCAAAATACAGTTACATGTACGTACTTACACAAAAACATGATCTTTTTAATCTAAAACTAGATACTGAAACTAAACTTAAATTGTTATCTTCACATATGTATGATACAATTGTATATGAATTCATAGTAATGTGTCATGAAATGAGAAGATAATATTATATGGAGATGTTGTGTTCTTTCCACACTGCAGCCCAGCCAGTAGCCCCAATGGGACCAATGTGTCCACAATATCAGACCTGTATGCAGAGGTGATAGGGGTCCTAGCACAATCCAGGTATTAAATAACAACACTGGTATTAATATGTATTATAAGCATATATTTTCTAATATAGTGATTGCTCATTAATGGATGGTGAAAGGAACGGTCTCTTTGGGAAATGTAACTGCAATATTGCAACAGTGAATATATAATGTATAATTTGTGATATTCAATTACTGAGAATAATTTTGAAGAAGGATTTTTCCTGTACTTCTGTACTTTATGTGGCTGTAATTGCCACAGAGAATTGTACTGATTGAAAAAAAATAACTCCATGTGTTAAATAAATGATTATAATATTATGTTATTTTTTATCTTAAGGTTCCAGGCAGTACGTAAGAAGTTCATGTTAGAGCTGAAGGAACTACGTAGTAAAGACCAAAGTCTTGCCATCACACAGAGTGCCATCATCAGCCTCCTTATGGGACTCAAGTTCTTCAGGGTCAAGGTCTGTTGTTTTTGAACGTATTTAAAAAAATTTTTTTTGCTTTATCTTTATGATTGCTTGAAAACCGCAAATGAGAATAATATCTTGAGAGCTTAATTTTTTAATCAAAATTTGCTGTATTTCAAAGTTTTCAGTATGATAGATTTTGTCAAACAGTGCTGAGGAATTGATTTGGGATCTGTGCATGGCAAAATAAAATAGACTTTTTTTCCTTTGTTTATGAATGGAGAAACTAATCCTTTGATAAAAGCAACATAAATTTATTACTATAGAATATTTTGTTCTGCTATTTTCCAGATGCATCCAATAGAAGAGTTTGAGGCTTGTGTTCACTTCCTTCAGGAGTTGGGCAACTATTTCCTTGAAGTTCGCGAGAAGGACATCAAACATGCGCTGGCAGGATTGTTTGTGGAGATTTTGCTGCCAGTTGCTTCTGTGAGTGAAATGATACTGATATCATATGAGAAATATATTTTCACAACATCATTGTCTTTTCTATGATAACCATATAATATGCTCATGTTACAATGCAGTATTGTCACAGGGTTTTGAAAATTGTCAAAGTTACAATACTCAAATTGCTTGAACCTCTTGTTTGACTTTGTCTAGTTGTTAACAAATCAAATACAAAAACATCTGAAAACAATGGAAATGGATCTCAAATGATCTGTCAAATTTGTATAAATGTGTCGAGTTGACAAACCTGTCATTATTCCCCATTCCAATCTGTTCCATTCCAGGTGGTCAAACATGAAGTCAATGTCCCTGTGCTGAAGAATTTTGTAGAGAGCCTCTTCACCACCACCACAGAAATGAGCACCAGAAAGAAACACCAGCTGGTAAGATTTTAGTTTGTTGCACAGTTTTAAATTCCTTTTTTTTTTTTTTTTTTTTTTTTTGTCAAATTTTTAATGAAACTGGGACTTTTAAAGTAAGAAGGGAATATAGTCTTACCCTGTATCTTTTTGTATTCCTGATATTCACCATTTTCTAAAAATTTCAGGTATGTAAAGAGAAGTCGGTTTCCTAGTAGCATATAAAACATAACATAATAATATACTTTCATTGTATATTCCAGGCCCTGTACCCCATGTTAACATGTTTACTTTGTGTGAGTCAGAAGTCATTTTTCCTGGCCAACTGGTCCCCTTTCCTGACCATGTGTTTGACACAGCTGAGGAACAGAGACCCTAAGATGTCCAGAGTGGCACTGGAGTCACTCTACAGGCTCTTATGGTGACTGACACTCTCTCTCTCTCTCTGTCTCTCTGTCTCTCTCTCTCTCTCTCTCTTGATTTAAAATTATGACACTTAAATTAATTCAAATGTTTCAAATAAATTTCTGTTGATAAACGTTATTGTTACTGCTCTTTAGATTGCAGAATGTGTGGATGCACAATCAGGATTAAAAAGAAATTAATTATGCCAAATAATCAGATACTTTCCATAAGCCTTCACCGTAGCAGTTTTTATCCTTTTGCATCTTCTATTCTCTAACCCAGCCACAAAATAGAAGGTGTATTGATAATTGTCATCATACACTGTATTATATCTTCCAGGGTGTATATGATCAGAATCAAATGTGAGAGTAACACGACCACGTTGAGTAAACTCCAGAGCATCTCCAGCAGTTTGTTCCCAAAGGGGGGCAGGTCCCTCATTCCAAAGGACACACCACTCAACATCTTTGTCAAAATTATACAGTTTGTTGCACAGGTACGACATGTGCTCTTCATTTGATTTGAATTAAAGCAGATGATATCCTGAAATGGCCAGCTCTATAAGTGCATGTAAAATCCTAGATTTCATACATATTGTCTTTTCTTTTTCATAAATATTTTAAGGTAAACTAGCAAGAAATAAAACCACATAGCTACATGAATTAATATCCTGATCATGTCTCAGAAAAGTTAAAAATTTCTGATATTTCATTTATAACAACACAATACTAGACTTGTAGCATTTCTCTGTTCATTTGCCCCTTTGATGTTTGTTTGAAATCCTTTGAACAATTTATGTAACGTGCATTTATACATTTTAAATACTTTATCAATTCCAGGAAAGGCTAGACTTTGCCATGAGGGAAATAGTCTTTGATTTGCTGTGTGTTGGTAAGCCAATCCGGGTCGTAAACCCGCAACGTATGAGCGTGGGCCTTCGTGCCTTCCTGGTAGTGGCGGACAGTTTACAGCAGAAAGACGGGGAGCCTCCCATGCCTCAGACCGTGGGAGTGATGCCATCTGGAAACACCCTGAGAGTCAAGAAGACTTTCTTGAATAAGATGTTGACTGATGGAGTGGCCAAGACCATAGGGATGTCCAGTTATTATCCACAGATTAGGAAGGCATTTGATGGGATACTCAGGGTGCTGGACCGTGAAGTGGGCAGGAATCTGGCCATGACCAAACCTGAGAATGTGAATAAAGACCTGGAGGAGCTCATGATGTGAGTTGATGAATATGAAATGGAAAAGGGTTGGAAAGGATAGGCCACTAAGATGTATTTTGATCTGTTTTTTTGCTCTTTTATGAATTGTAACTGATAAACTTTCGAAATAGAGTGATTCTAAGGCATCAGGGATTTTTTCCTGTGGAACTGTAACTATATTTTTAAGTTATTGTATTTGTCTTTTGTGAATTATGTATAGTGTTACATTAGATATGCAGTATTGTTTACCAAATTTTCCATATTCAGAGGGGAAAGGAAAGCTAAGATTGATCTATTCCGTACCTGTGTAGCGGCCATTCCTCGTCTGTTCCCTGAGGGCATGCAGAAGTCTGAGGTGGTGGATCTTCTTACGCGACTCATGATTCATGTGGACGAGAAACTCAGAGAGTAAGTATGCCAAAAACGTATACTTTGATTACAAAAAAGCTTCCATATTACAGTGAGGTCTGATTTAAAACAGGCATAAAAAGATGTTATTCTTAACTCAACTAGTGATCAGTGTGGACGAGAAACTAAGGCAGTTAAGGACCTTAACTCATGCCATAATGAAGTTTGATAATTATGACAGTCCCTATGATAGTAATAATTATGATGCTGTCCTGAATTGTGTGAAATAAAAACAGGAGAATTTATTTGGTTAGATATTTCAAATGATATTGGGTTTTTGCAGGCTATGAAGTCAAAATGTGATAAATAATTTTTTGGGTGTTTAAGTCACCTCAAGTGTACGACTAGTGTTCATTGATGTCCTCTTATTGTAGGTTGTCACTGCAAGCACTTCAGAATCTTGTACTGGACTTTCCAAGTTGGAGAGAAGATGTTTTACATGGTGAGTTGATAAAACCTGAGTCTAAGTGTTGGTAGTTAAGTTTTATCAATTAAGATAATTTAACTTTCATTTAATAATGCAGTATTTTAAGCTAAGTGTTTGAAGTTAGAGTAGTAGTGATGCAATAATTACAGTAATATTGGTAACATTAATGAGGTTTTGATTTGTTTCTTAAAAAGTAGTGACTTTAACTGTACTGGTGTGGTTTAATGTTCGTACTGTCTGTTTCCAGGCTTCATTCAGTTTGTGCAGAAAGAGATTGGTGACTCATTCCCAGGTCAGCAGCATTTGGACAACTTTCTCCGCGTCCTGCTACAGTTCCTGACACAGTGGAAGACAGCTGCCCAGTCCCCCTTTGGTGCTAAAGTAAGATAAGTCTAGGTGGCTTTGCTGCCCTGTCATCCATTGATAGTAAAGTAGGATTGCTCCTAAATACTGTGTATGTAATTTCATGTGCAGATGTCTTAGTAAAATGTGCATGTGCATGGTAAAATGTATGCGGTGAAATGTGTGTGTGCATGCGTATATGTGTGTGTAATGGAGTAAGTGTTTATAAGATTTGTGCTACACTTTTTACCCTCTTTCACATTTCCCACTACAAAACTATTTGATTTGAAATTTGTGTTTCTGAATGATTCATAGAAGAACACAAAGTATGAAATTTGTACAATTCCTTTCAGGATAAATCTGAAAACTTGGAGCTGTCTGCCCACAAGCTTCCCTTTGACCGCAGCAGCCATGCTAACGTGATGAATGAGATCGAGGGGTTTGCCCTGGTCATGCTGTGCAACTGTAAACCTCTGACGCGTAAACTGGCAGCCTGTATACTCAAGGAGGTCCGCACACTTTTCAGCATCCTGGGTACATCAAAGGTAAAGTTTTTGTCAATATTGGGGCTATACTTCCGTCTAATGTTTAATATGTGTATATTTTGGTAATCTCATTTACTGACTCACATAACTTTCACTGCCGTGAAGATTTGTAATATGCCAAAATACAATATTTCAACAAATAATTGCCAAAAAAAAGTACACATATATTCTAATGTCAGTTTTGAAATAGTATCTAGACTCATGATTAAAGATATAAAATGATTCATTGATCAATAATAAAGACTGCAATTTATTGTCAATACACATAGTTCATATCATAGTCATATTTCATTTTACATTATAAGAAGCTGGATGAATTTTATTTTCTACCTCCAGGTTGATGACCCCTGTGTTATAGATGTCATAGACAAGGCCATGCCAAATATTATAGAGAAACTGCTGCCCTACCTGCCATCACAGGAAAAGGTGAGGTTGCCTGGTCACAGTTTTAGTTTGTGGTAGAATATCTACACCTTACAGGGAACTCGAGATCGAAAAATTAGAATATTGAGGCCTTGTACTGTTCATTTGCTTTATATTCATGTTTTTCACAGATTCTTTTAGTGTCTTGCATGATACCTGTTTTTATACAGACACTATAAATAGAAGTCGTCATTGGAAACAGAAATGAGTTTTAATGTTTATTATTTGAATTTCCATGCATGAAAAAATAAATTTGAGATTTCCCGTATGTTTTGCCACAAAAGTGTGAAATTTGATTTCTTTTAAGATGCAGTTTCTTATTCTACTTACTGCTTTCCAGAAAATTTGATTTGTTATAAATAACACATTCCTCCATCTCAGTAATATGCCATACAATCTATTTGATTCCATATAAAATAGATCTTTTCCCTATCCTCAGTCGATTTTATTTCTTATAATGGAATACATTTCCTTCCTCTCTCTAGAACGCCATCCAGTCAGCCTCCAATATTGACCTACAATGGCTGTGCGAGAGAACATCCGCCGTGTGGGTCGCAGGCTATCACGAGCACAACATCACCCTTGACACCAGTCGGTCAGGAGCGGTCACCAACGAGTTTGACCCCTGGGTGGTTTGTCTGGCCAATTTCCTTGGTCAAGACTGCCTGTACACCAGCTGTCCCCATGCTATAGCCCATGCCTGGCCCATCGTGTACTACAGGCTACAGTCCTATATGGATCCTAATGTGTAAGAGAAGTCATGCCTGGTATCACTTCAGAACATATTTAGTTTCAGCCAAATAATTCATTATTTTACCGAATTTGTTTTTAAAAATGTCAAAAGCAGACATAAATCAGATTAATATTTTAAAGATTTTAAAGCATTTTGCTAAAACATGCCTAGGGAATGGCAAAGACTATAAGAGTTTACCCAATTTGCCAAGTGTATAAAATGTTGAAATTTTCAGATCTCTCAATTATTGGATTACATTTGAAAATGATGGAAATCTATACAGTTAATAAGAACAGAATTTTGCACATAGGAGACTGTGTAAAAGTATCTTATTTTACAAATATGCGGATCTGTTTTACCTCAAGCTGTAGGGAATATCTTAGTGATAGTTTAGATGCAAGCTGATTAATCAAGTTTTCTTCAAGATATATAATGTATCAAATGTATTGTAAAAAACACATTTATAATCTTACAATCCAGCAACCCCTCCATAGTAAGTGACACCCGCTCATCGTCCATCTTGAGGTCCGGCAGTAAGAAGATGGCCAGTGAGAAGGACTTGTATAATAACCTGTGGAGGAACTATGTGGTGTTTGCCTGCTGTATAGCCCCATCAGGACCAGGTGCCACACCCAGGTGCTCATCTCCAGAACTCAGGTGAGAAGATAGGGGAAAAGTGTTGGGGGAATGGATTTTTTACTGATACTGTAGTGGACATGACTTGAATCTTTTATCCCAATGTATTAGTGAGAACTGATTGGGCCTAGGGTGTTATTTTAAGCCTTACTTCTCTTTGAGGATAAGTTTTTCTTTACAAAAGATTACCAGAACTTTACTACAAGGAAATAAGTAAGGAGAATTAAAGTGATATAATGGATATTGTGTGAAATTGTATTTACTTCTTTTTCTAATTTTATAAGTGGAGGTTTGTTTGGTATAGCTGAGTTATGTTATTTGTTGGAAGCATTAGGCAGAAAATTATTCCCTTACCAATGTCATTATGTAAAATGTCTCTTATGTGTTTTTAAATTTTTTTTCAAAAAAGCTGATAATCTGATGCGTATTCTTTGGCAAGGACACACAACTCGTATAATAGTCATACTAAATATAATTCTGCCATTCCATGGTTTCAGCTCATCACCTGAGAGTTCATCCTCAGAGCGATCAGAGCCGCGTCCAGCAGGTGTCGTCACAGTGTGTGCTAGTAACCTGTTTAAGCAGCTCACTCCCCTCATTCGTAGTGATGCACTGGACACTAGGGAGACCATCGTCAATGGACTGGGGAGGTGCAATCCAGATTCCTTCAGGTGTGGACTGATTGTTGTATCACAACTGATATAACTGGCAATAGTTTTATAATCAGTGATGAGTATTTTCCGACTATAGGCAGAATCAGACTTTTTGGGTGGTGTTGGTGCTTACAACAGTAATGAGATTTTTCTATCGATGGATTTCTAACTTTGTGGGAGCATCATTCCTGCATGATATGGCTGAAACTGTTTTTCTGAATTTCAAAGTTGAACAATGTTCTCAATCCATATTTGCAAAAATCTACATCTGAAACCAGTACATCTGAAACCGGTCTCTTTAGACTTAAAAATGCTTTCTGTGCAATGAAGAAAGAAAGTTCATAAAAAAAAAATAAATAAAAAAATAAGAGTAATTATTGCTGTATTTGTTCCAGAGCCCTGGTGGAGGAACTGGTACCATACATCAAGGAAGCCATTGACAGGAAGCAGGAGAAAGTTGCCAGGAGGAAGAAAAGAGACGCTCTACGAGTTCTGCTGGTCAGAATATTTAAACTGCTGGCTGAGAACAAGACATTTGCTCACAGGTTAGTAAACTTGTCAATCATAACAGGGCTAAAGAGTAGTAGCTCGTTAACCAAGGGCTAGTGGACTGCTTGGCTGGGCTACCAGTTCCTACATGTCATGACCGGGATATTTGTTTGGACCAGTAAAAAATTGAACTTGGTTGGCCCAAAGCACCAACAAGAGTTTTAAGACCCTCAATTTTGAATCTACAGTCATCATTCAACATACTTCACTAATAAAAATACATATAAATATAATACTAATAAAAACCGATGGCGTTTTTCCCTTCCATTTCAAATCTATCACATTCACAAACACATTAAGCTACCTAATCATGCTGGTAGTATCTGTCTCAAACAAATAGCCTGGGTGATTTTCGGTCCGACAAAAATCCATTCGGTCCGGCAAATTTTTCATTACTGCCTGTCCAAATGTCCGACCCTTCTGAAAAGTTTTCAGCATGTCTGCATCTTTTCACCATTTGAAGCAGCCCTGTCCCTTTTAAAATTGCTGGCTACTGGCCTGAAATTGATCCTTATATAATAATATGTGGAATATGCCACAATGTGTAGAGACTGCAATCTTGCTGTGCCACACATCTCCAGTTCACCAGTAACCCCAGTGTGTATATTTCCAGCAATACCAAGGTGGTGGATGCTGAGAGGCACACCCTGAGTCCCACCTTTGTGGAGTACATAGATGGTGCTAGGATCTTCCTGGACAATGAAGGGGACAGAGAACAGCCCATGCTGCAGGAAATCAGGGTGTACTTTGCTGGGTTTGTGACACAGCTGATCATACACACACCAGGTAATAGGGCCAGACAAGGGCAAGGTTACTTTAATATTTGTCTCAGAATATCTGTTCAGAGTATTATTGATTGGTGAATGCATGAATATTTCAGTTATAAAGGTAAAATGTGTTTTACTGACTTTAAGATGAATCAGTTGTTGTAGATGAATCAGTTGTTGTAGAACTGAGGATAATCGTCGGCTTGGTACAGGTATCAGCCAAAGGTAGTTGTTCATACGCAAACAAAATATGAAATCTTACATGATACCTGACTAACAACCTAGGAGAAGGTCTTAATCAGCTCATGTTTATGTAACTGTATAACAAGGTTATAGAAGACTTGTGAAGATTCTTTTGTCTATAGCTATTTATATTAGTTTGATCTTACCATCCAATATTTCATCTGCTTGCAGTCAGATTTCATCAGGGAATGAGGTTGTGACAGGTATGACAACCTGTCACCCCCTCTGGTGTGCTATTTGGTCAGATCCCCCCCCCTTGCCTGCCCCTCCCTTAGGAGTGGTAGGTAGAGGTTGGGTAGCTCAGTCCCATCATTCCGATTCAACTTGGCCCCATGTAAGCGGATGTTAATTGCTTCAAGAACTTTCCGGTGTAGATCTCGTGGCTCTCTTTCCAAGATTTTTATGTCTTCTATGGTTGTTGATGTTATACAATGCCCTGTCTGTTCCTGGTGTTGGCTGAGGGCAGATTTTTTATCATGTTTTTTGATCGATTTTTGATGTTCAGCGATTCTTTCAGTTAAGGAACGTCCTGTCTCTCCGATGTATTTCTCTCCACACACCTGACACTCACACTGGTATACAACTCCACACTGTTCTCCTGGGTCTAATTTGTCCTTTGGGGATACTAGGATGCCTCTTAGTGTCTGTCCTGCCTTATGGTGTAATACTACATTCCTTTTTCTGAATGCTCTTTTTAGCTTTTCACTAACCCCTTTCATGTAAGGTAGTACTGCATATCCTTTGGGTTTTTCTTTTTCAGTCATGTTCTCGGGCCTTTGTTGTTTTTCTCTTCCTTTCTTTTCCCCTTCTTTTATAGCCCATTCTGGGTAACCACAATTTCTAAAAGCCACTCTGATTTTTTCCTTCTCTATCTCTACCTTGGGTTTCTCTTTTATCAGTGTGTCTGCCCTATGCATCAGCGTCTTGATGATTCCTATCTTCTGTTGGACAGGGTGGTGGGATGTCCACTGAAGGTAGTGGTCTGTATGCGTAGGTTTTCTATAAATGTCTGTTGTGATGTTATCATTCTTCCTAATAAGCTGTAAGTCCAGCATGGGTAATGTCTGGTTGTCATCTTCCCTTTCTATTGTGAACTTAATGCTGTCATGTTGTGCATTGATATGTCGGAAAAGCTCCTCCTCGTGTTGTTTCTGTATTATAACCCCTGTATCATCGACGTATCTGGCCCAAAATTTTGGTGGGTGGGTGGCTGTTCTTAGTGCCTGCTCTTCAAACTCTTCCATGAATAGGTTGGCCAGGACAGGAGAGAGTGGAGAGCCCATTGCCATTCCATATACCTGTTCGTAAATACGCCCTTGGTACCGGAAGTAGGTTGTCTCAATTGTTAGCTTTAGTAAGTCCCCAAAGTCCTCTNGCCTGCCCCTCCCTTAGGAGTGGTAGGTAGAGGTTGGGTAGCTCAGTCCCATCATTCCGATTCAACTTGGCCCCATGTAAGCGGATGTTAATTGCTTCAAGAACTTTCCGGTGTAGATCTCGTGGCTCTCTTTCCAAGATTATTATGTCTTCTATGGTTGTTGATGTTATACAATGCCCTGTCTGTTCCTGGTGTTGGCTGAGGGCAGATTTTTTATCATGTTTTTTGATCGATTTTTGATGTTCAGCGATTCTTTCAGTTAAGGAACGTCCTGTCTCTCCGATGTATTTCTCTCCACACACCTGACACTCACACTGGTATACAACTCCACACTGTTCTCCTGGGTCTAATTTGTCCTTTGGGGATACTAGGATGCCTCTTAGTGTCTGTCCTGCCTTATGGTGTAATACTACATTCCTTTTTCTGAATGCTCTTTTTAGCTTTTCACTAACCCCTTTCATGTAAGGTAGTACTGCATATCCTTTGGGTTTTTCTTTTTCAGTCATGTTCTCGGGCCTTTGTTGTTTTTCTCTTCCTTTCTTTTCCCCTTCTTTTATAGCCCATTCTGGGTAACCACAATTTCTAAAAGCCACTCTGATTTTTTCCTTCTCTATCTCTACCTTGGGTTTCTCTTTTATCAGTGTGTCTGCCCTATGCATCAGCGTCTTGATGATTCCTATCTTCTGTTGGACAGGGTGGTGGGATGTCCACTGAAGGTAGTGGTCTGTATGCGTAGGTTTTCTATAAATGTCTGTTGTGATGTTATCATTCTTCCTAATAAGCTGTAAGTCCAGCATGGGTAATGTCTGGTTGTCATCTTCCCTTTCTATTGTGAACTTAATGCTGTCATGTTGTGCATTGATATGTCGGAAAAGCTCCTCCTCGTGTTGTTTCTGTATCTGACCAAATAGGATCTGACCAAATAGCACACCAGAGGGGGTGACAGGTTGTCATACCTGTCACAACCTCATTCCCTGATGAAATCTGACTGCAAGCAGATGAAATATTGGATGGTAAGATCAAACTAATATAAATAGCTATAGACAAAAGAATCTTCACAAGTCTATTATAATAACATAGCTAATGAAACTGTTCTACACTAAGGTTATAGAAAGTTCAGCTTTGTCAGGTTTCATTTATTCTTGAATAATCTGCTCTTCTTTCAGTGGAGTACAGATACTGCCTGTTATCGCGGGACCTCCGTTACAGCCTGTTCTTCCTGTTTGCTGGCTGGAGCGGCAGATTTGGGACCATGTTTGGAGCAGTAGACAGGAGGTAGACTCTTAATGTCAGGGAAAGATTTAGACATTATTCTAGATTATGGTCAGAATTTTCAATGAAATTTTAGATTGAATATTAATTATTTTTTTGATGAAATAGTTGACTTCATGTCTTTGGAAGACTTGGCTGGTCTTGATCAATCAGCACCTGATGAACTTATTTCAACCCTTTTTGATGGCAATGTTTTAAAGAAATTTTTATATTATATGTTAATGTGGTCCTTTCGCAATCAGTATGAGGAGATATTGTTCTTGTTTATTAAAAGGAACTTGAGACTTGAACTTGAGTAAGGACTTTAAACTGAACCTTCGCTCTCTGTATCTGCAACTGTATATCGAATATTGAAGGACATTGATGATGTTTCCAGGCAAAGTAAATATATAATATTATATATTATATATTATATATAAAAATTATATGTTTTCAGACAAGGTAAAGATGAAGCCTGTACAGACTTTGAATTGGCAGCTGTCCATGCCATGTCGGCCGTAGTATGCTGTGGTCAAGTGTTTGACCCCTCTGGACTTAACGAGGATGGCTACCTGTACAGCTGGTTAGATGTCCTTCTGGGGACACATGATGAAAAAGTAAGAACACCTAGACCACCTGAAATTCTCTTCTAATTTTTCTTATATACTGCATTCTGATTCATTTGTTATTTTTGTCTAACTGACTCACCAGTTATTATCTACAATTTACATTTGTTCCGTGTTGATTAATTGGATATATATATGCCGATTTCTGTTGGAATTTGATATCTGGTGTTTATGACTATTATTTAGGTTCAAATACTGGTTGATCTGTTCTAGTCATAGTTTTTAATACTCTGAAGGTCTGCCATGTAGATTCTAATAAAACAGATTGGAGGTCATCTTCGCAAAGGTCAATGCACCTCAGTTTTATATACAATCCATCACTAGAGGGAAAAAAAAAATGACGTTACAAAAAGTTGTGACATGCAGACACGTGTACATGCATGCACGTGTAAGCAAGCCCACACATTGATATCATAAATAATTCGTAATTTCTGACCAACTAAAAATACAATTACTTTGTGAAGCAGACCAGACCATAATTAATCTCTGTTGAACATTTAACTACAACAGACTATATCTCTGAAACTCCTTATTTGGTTTCATGTTTTAACATTGTGTGCATTAGAAGAAATATTATTTTTCTTAGAAGTATATATTTTTTCCTTTCCTCTGCTGCTTTACTAGACACAAAGTCAGGTGAGTTAAGTGTGACTGCCTTGGTGACACTGTTTCCCAGCATGCACCAGTTTGTGCATTGTGAAGCAGTGACAGGCTATTTGGCGGTGACAGCAGACGACATTTCGTGACTTCCGGTTTACTTGTGTGCTTTTCATTGTCATTTGTTTACTTTTGCTGAAATTTGATGTCCTTCTTCTATGTCGTTCAATATTTGATGTAATTGTTCTCAAGATATGGTATTTGTGTTCCGTTTAAAATGTATTTCTATGACTTGGTGGTATAATAGAACATATAAATGTTATGCTACATTTTTTTCTCAAAAACCAGCCACTAGGCTAATGATTCACCTTGTTACAAACGTGTGTATTCTTGTTTTTAATATTGTGTCATGTCATATGTATATGTATCCCTCTTCACAAGGGTTCGATATGATGAATTTTACTGGACTGTCAAACTTGAGATAAGAATTAAATAATGTTCAAACTTTGCTCATAGATTTGTTAGATGAGATGTCCTGCTTTGTCTTTATCTTACTATTTGTACAGTTACATTTAGCAAGTACCGGGGCATATTGAGGAGAAATTTATTATATCACTTCATTTACATGTGCGTAAATGGCTTTCCAACATGTTCTTTACTGGACTGTTTTCATGAACTGAATTTTTGTCTACACTCCCATTTTTCCTGTGTATGTATGTGACATACTGTTTCTGTATTGAATTTTTACATGCATAAAATCTGTTTCAGTAATTGCTGTTTCATTACTAAGTGGTTCAACGTACTTGTATAACAGAATGAAAGTGTTGCATTTTGCTTCGAGTGATTTGTTTGGCAATGTTCATTTTTTTTTTTTTTTTTCAAACAAGTTGGTTATGTTTCAAAAGTGCTACAAGTTCCTNAATTATGTATATTTTGTGTTTCAAGTATTTCTTATAACCATTCAAATCCTACAAAGAAAGGATTCTAAAATTGAATATATGTTCTTTTATAAATTGAACAAACTATAGAGCGTAATGTTGATATTTGTTGAACATGTGTGTACGTTCCCAGAGATCACCCACAGACTGCAGACAGCCAGACCAGCAATACGCCAGGTGCTCCTCCAGGTCCTCACCCCATGGCTGTACAATCTGGAGTTTGTAGACCCCCACCTGCCCCCTCTCAATGTGTGGGCTGACGCCCTGCTTCGGGCTCAAGAAGGGACCCAGGACCTGGAGCCCCCACTGAAGGGGGAGGGATGGGGTTCCCAGCAGGCCACGGAAATGGTGCTGAACAACATGTTTTATATCACACTGAAAGTGAGTGCATATGATGGTTATACATTTTAAGCACTGTCATATTGGACTCCATATTCTTAAGGGATCTTGTTTGAAATTCATTGTGTTGGACTCAACCAACAGTCTTGATTTTGAAAATTTCATCTTTTAATTGGCTTGACGGTCATCATACAGTTTATTAACACAGCTTATTAAGTCATCTATTTTTTAATTCAGATTGTGTGGTATACTTTAGGTGTAGAAGACTCAGATTTGATAAAAAAATTAAATATTCCCAGAAATGTGAATGTTTCTTTTTTTTTTTTTTAACTTTTTCCCTGAAAACACTTTTTACCAAATTTAAGGAAAACATGTTTTCTCTCCCCTGTAGTTTGTAGATGACCACCCCTGTGAGCTGGAGAACCTGTGGTCAGCCCTGGTCCACTACTGGCCAAATAACCTCAGGATTATCATACGCTTCATGATCATTGTCACTGGCATGGCACCCACAGAGCTTTTACAAACTGTAAGTAAAAAAAAATTGAATAACAAGTTGTATTTGTCTGTTTATTTATTTATTTATTTATTTATTTATTTATTTAAAGCACCTCTTATATGATATTTATTAAGTTAATGTGTTGCTCCTTGGGATTCAATAAATTTTAATATGCACATAAACAGTAATTGCAGTCTTGACTTTATTGCCTAAATGAAAATTTGATTAAAACTGTATTATTAATCATTTCTGGTTTCAAAAATTGTGTAATAAAGACTTCTTCCTTCGTAAAGTTCAAATACTTTGAATCTTTTTCCAGGCCAAGCTTGTGACCGTGTACATAGCTAGAACACGGCCAGATCGACTGATTGAGGAAATCATGAACGAGCTGCAGACAATCGAGAATCTCCACTTCAACATCGATAGAACTGAGACTCCGCCTTTCTTCCGCCTGACCAACTTCAGGAAGTACGGAGAGGAGGGTTCATCCGCTGACACCACTATGGAGAGGACGGAGGGAAGCCCGCTGGAAAAAGGACAGATTCACACTAAGAGAAGAAGTGCAAGTGCCCTGGAGGAGAGAGAGCTGCTGTATGTAGAAATGGGTTTCTTCTAGTGTTTTAACAGTGAAGGCTGTAAATCTGTTCTTTACCAATTGAATGAGACAATCTTTTTTTTTAGTTAAAAAAAATAGTCACAGCATATTTACCTGATTATTTTGAGAAAAATGTACGTTCAATTACCACCCTAAAAGGCACTAAAGCACTGTGGTATAGGTATGAAACAATCAATTACAAGATTGAATAGGTAGCTTGGATTGCTAAAAAATATGTTTTAATACCCAACTACATGTATCAAAGAATATATGTGTTGTTTAACATGTCATTTCATGTCATTCAAACACAGTCAGCACTAGTTTTGCACATGGGAAAGACTATTATTTAATTTTTACCATCTATATCAGGACCCCAAGGACCAACTCGGCCGCCTCACTCCGCAGCGTCTCTAGTGGCTCCAGTCACGGTAGCGTGAAAGAAATGCGTGGCCTCTCACTTACATCTGCTGCTGAAGTATCACGTATGTGTAAATATAGTGATTAATGAGTTCATTCAATGTCAGTAATGATTCATGGTTTTTGAATGAGACCAATATTTAATGAAGTCAATTAGTAATGCCTGTTTAATGACTATTTATTGAGATATACAAATTAAATAAATGAATCAAAATAAACCCAAAGTTAATGAGAATATCAAATATGAGTTTTCAAATTTCAAAATATGTTGTTAGTTTATCTTTTTAATTAATCAAACTCTTTTCATCTGGCACTCTGAATAAAAAACAGATATAAATATAAATTATAATACATAATTTAAGTACATTTTAATTTCTGATCTCCCAGCTGATGAGTGTGTCCCTAAGCAGTCAGGAGAGGACCCAATGGAGGGCCCCCAGCCCTACCCACTACCCATGCCAGCATATGGGGGCTTCTATGCCCCTCTCAACTACCACCTGCCTGAGAGTGGCACACAGATCCAGTGCTTCCACAGGTGAGAGAACTTGCTAAAATCACTGATATAACAACTAGAAAATAAAGTGATTTAAACTGTGGTGGGCAAAAGAAAAGATACTTGGCTGATACTGTATTTTTCTTTCTCTGTCAGGATGGACATAAGATACTGAATTTCATAAGAAACCTTTTCACTATTTATGTACTTTAAGTTAAATGAACTTAATTTTTTTGGTGAGCCTTTTCATCATTCTGTTCTACTTAGGGTAACAAATTGTGTTTTCTGTTTGACACATCTACAGAAAGTAGAACAATGTGGCATCTCAATGAAAGTAGATATTATATTACCCATGCTGTTGTTAAGTTTATGATTATGTGTCATTTTTCATTCTCTGTGTGTTGGTTCCAGGTGTAACATGGCAGTGATGCTGTTAACAGATCTGATAGTGGATGGTTTGGAGATAGACTGGTCCATGCATCTCCCTCTGATGTTCCATATCATCTTTCTAGGTAAGGGGAGGTGGGGGTGGGGCATAACATCACTGTGAAGTGGATCTTCCTCTTATGCTGTATTTGATATTTTAATATGTGTCAGTATACATTTTGAATTGTACGTCAGGACAAAGCCTTGCAAGTGTGTTTAGTGAAGTGATAGAATTAGTTTTCAACTCAATCTTTGTCTCACAAGGTCACAGTGCCACATTAACACAGGTCCCTTACCAAATACCAGTAAAATTGAAGCCAGGCAATAAATTTCATCAAGTACTGGTCACTCCTGTATTTTTGCTTTAGGCCGGCATGTTCTTAGACTTAGGTGTCCCAAAGGACCAATAGGCATAAAAAGAACTGGCACTGATTCATTTTATCTACTACAGTGTACATGCATATTGTTTCAGGTTTGGATAACAACCGTAGCCTGGTGTCAGAGCACTGTAAGAAACTACTGTTGAATATTCTGCTTGTGCTCAGTGTGGAGACGGACAACCTTGGGATAGCCAAGCTGATTCTCATCAACAAGGAGCTCAAAGAGGAGTTCCAGCTAGCACTGTCTAATTCCATAGCCAAGGATTTAGGTATGTTGGATAATGGCATTTATTTCATGTCATGAAATAAAATTAAAATGAAGCATCACCCAGATGAAATTTCATATTGTCACATTTTTGTGTTAAATTTGTTGAAGACCATGTTATGTTGGTGAAGTGCTGCACTTTTGTTATATTCCAGCGATCACAACCAGCACTGAGCAGACAGGCATGATGCCAGCCTAGTCATGTTTGTGTTATACATGAATGTCATGTTTGTGTTATATTCCAGAGAGCACAGCCAGCAGTGAGCAGACAGGCATGATGCCAGCCCAGTCATGTTTGTGTTATATATGAATATCATGTTTGTGTTATATTCCAGAGAGCACAGTCAGCAATGAGCAGACGGGCATGATGCCAGCCCAGTCATGTTTGTGTTATACATGTACATGAATGTTATGTTTGTGTTATATTTTAGATAGCACACCCAGCAGTGAGCAGACAGGCATGATGCCAGCCCAGTCATGTTTGTGTTATACATGTACATGAATGTCATGTTTATGTTATATTCCAGAGAGCACGGCCAGCAGTGAGCAGACTGGCATGATGCCAGCCCAGTCATGTTTGNCGTATATTTTGTGTTTCAAGTATTTCTTATAACCATTCAAATCCTACAAAGAAAGGATTCTAAAATTGAATATATGTTCTTTTATAAATTGAACAAACTATAGAGCGTAATGTTGATATTTGTTGAACATGTGTGTACGTTCCCAGAGATCACCCACAGACTGCAGACAGCCAGACCAGCAATACGCCAGGTGCTCCTCCAGATTCTCACTCCCTGGCTGTACAACCTGGAGTTTGTAGACCCCCACCTGCCCCCTCTCAATGTGTGGGCTGACGCCCTGCTGCGGGCTCAGGAGGGGACCCAGGACCTGGAGCCCCCACTGAAGGGGGAGGGGTGGGGCTCTCAGCAGGCCACAGAGATGGTGCTGAACAACATGTTTTATATTACACTGAAAGTGAGTGCGTGTGATGGTTATGCATTTTAAGCACTATCATGTTGGCATCCCCTGACCTAAGGGATTTTGTTTGAGTTTCAATGTGTTGCTTTCAACCAACAGTCTTGATTTTGAAAATTTAATAATTTAATTGGCTTTAGGGTCATCATACACACAATTTATTTAGTCATCTATTTTTTAATTCAGTTTGTTGGGTATACTTTAGGTGTAGAAGATTCAAATTCGATAAAAACATTAAATATTTCCAGAAAAGTTAATGCTTTCTTGATTTATAAAAAAATTCTCTAAAGACATGTTTTCACATAAGAAAACCATGTTTTCTCTCCCCTGTAGTTTGTAGATGACCACCCGTGTGAGCTGGAGAACCTGTGGTCAGCCCTGGTCCACTACTGGCCAAATAACCTCAGGATTATCATACGCTTCATGATCATTGTCACGGGCATGGCACCCACAGAGCTTTTACAAACTGTAAGTAATAAAATTGAGTAACAAGTTGTATTTGTCTGATTATTTATTTATTTATTTATTTATTTATTTATTTATTTATTTATTTAAAGCACCTCTAATATGATCTTTATTAAATGAATATGTTGCTACTTGGGATTCAATGATTATAATATGCACATAAACAGTAATTGCAATCTTGACTTTATTGCCTAAGTGAAAATTTGATTAAAACTGTATTATTAATCATTTCTGGTTTCAAAAATTGTGTAATAAAGACTTCTTCCTTCGTAAAGTTCAAATACTTTGAATCTTTTTCCAGGCCAAGCTTGTGACCGTGTACATAGCTAGAACACGGCCAGATCGACTGATCGAGGAAATCATGAATGAGCTGCAGACAATCGAGAATCTCCACTTCAACATCGACAGAACTGAGACTCCACCTTTCTTCCGCCTGACCAACTTCAGGAAGTACGGAGAGGAGGGTTCATCCGCTGACACCACTATGGAGAGGACGGAGGGAAGCCCGCTGGAAAAAGGACAGATTCACACTAAGAGAAGAAGTGCAAGTGCCCTGGAGGAGAGAGAGCTGCTGTATGTAGAAATGGGGTTACTCTAGTGGTTTTTTCCACCACATGAATGAGCCAATCTTTTTTCTGGAAAAAAAAGCTAGTCACCACCACATATTAACCTGAGTATTTTGAGAAAAACGTGTGTAGAATCACCACCCTAAAAGGCACTAGCACTATTGTATAGGTATAAAACAATCAATTACAAGATTGAATAGGTAGCTTGGATTGCTAAAAAGTATGTTTTAATACCCAACTACATGTATCAAAGTAGGAATATATGTGTTGTTTAATATGTCATTTCATTTAATATTCCAATAATTTTCTATTCAAACACAGCACTAGTTTTGCACATGGGAAAGACTATAATTATTTGATTTGTACCATTTATATCAGGACCCCAAGGACCAACTCAGCCGCCTCACTCCGCAGTGTCTCTAGCGGCTCCAGTCACGGTAGCGTGAAGGAAATGCGCGGCCTCTCACTGACATCTGCTGCTGCTGAATTATCACGTATGTATAAATATAGTGATTCATGAGTTCATTAATTGTCAGTATTAATTCATGGTTTTCCCACGAGACTAATATTTAATTAAGTTAATTAGTAATGCCTATTTAATTACTATTTATTGAGACAAACAAATTAGATCAACTATGAAAATAAACCCAAAGTTAATGAGAATATCATATGTGAGTTTTCAAATTTCAAAATATGTTGTTATCTTTTAAATTAATCAAACTCTTTTCGACTGGCACTCTGAATAAAAAATGGATGTAAATATAAATTATGATACATAATTTAAGTACATTTTGATTCCTGATCTCCCAGCTGATGAGAGTGTCCCTAAGCAGTCAGGAGAGGACCCATTAGAGGGCCCCCAGCCCTACCCCCTACCCATGCCAGCATATGGGGGCTTTTATGCCCCTCTCAACTACCACCTGCCTGAGAGTGGCACACAGATACAGTGCTTCCACAGGTGAGAAATCTCACTGATATAACAGCTAGAAAATAAAGTGAAGGAAACTGTGATGGAGAAAGGAAAAAGTACTTGACTGATACAGTTACTGTACCTTTCTTTCTCTGTCAGGATGGAAATAAGATATTGAATTTCATAAGAAACCTGTTCATTTTTCATGCACTTTAAATTAAATAAACTTAATTTCTCATGAGCCTCTTTATCATTCTGTTCTTCTTAGGGTAACAAATTCTGTTCTCTGTTTGACACATCTACAGAAAGTAGAACAATGTGGCATCTTATTGAAAGTACTTAACCGGACGATATATTGCCCATGTTGAAGTTAAGTTTATGATTATGTGTCATCTTTCATTCTCTGTGTGTTAATTCCAGGTGCAACATGGCAGTGATGCTGTTAACAGATTTGATAGTGGATGGTTTGGAGATAGACTGGTCCATGCATCTCCCTCTGATGTTCCATATCATCTTCCTAGGTAAGGAGGGTGGCAGTAATGTCACTGTGCTTTGTGTAATGTAGGATGACAATTCTGCTGTAATATAATACTATATTGGATATTTTAATATCTGAGAGCATACATTACCTTGCCTGGTTACAAGTGTTTTTGACATAAAATAGACTTAGTGCTTGACCCAGTGTCTGTGTTGTATAAGGTCAGACTGCCACATTAACACTAACATATGCCAAAATGCCAGGTAGTAAATTTGTTCAAGTACTTGCCACTTATCTCCTGTTACTTTTCTGTCCCAAAGGATCAGTAGACAAATAAAGAATTAAGATTAAAAAAAAAAAGTACTGGTACTGGCACTGACTCGTATTACATCTTACTACAGTGTATATGCATATTGTTTTAGGTCTGGATAACAACCGTAGCCTGGTATCAGAGCACTGTAAGAAGCTGCTGTTGAATATTCTGCTTGTGCTCAGTGTAGAGACAGACAATTTGGGGATAGCCAAGCTGATTCTCATCAACAAGGAACTAAAAGAGGAGTTCCAGCTAGCACTGTCTAATTCCATAGCCAAGGATTTAGGTACGTGGGATGATGGCATCAGGTTTTATTTTTTGCATCAGGAAACAAAATAAAGCACAACCTGCATGTGTTGAAGACAGTGCTATATTGATGCAATGTTGCACTTTTGTTGTATTCATTGCCATGTTTTTTTTTTATTAAGTGTCATGTCTTTGTTGAATTTCAGGGAGCACAACCAGCAGACAAGCATGATGTCAGCCCTGTTATGTTTGTGTTATATATGAATGTCATGTTTGTGTTATATTTCAGAGAGCACAGCCAGCAGTGAGCAGACAGGCATGATGCCAGCCCAGTCCACCATCAGCATCAGCTCCATTTCCACCATCACTCCAGAAAATGTTTCCAAAATGGTGGATGTGGACTCCATGACCTCCATGAAAGAGGTGGTGACAGGGATTATAGACTTCATGACTGCTAGGTATTATAGTCTGTGATAATTCACAAATATGATTATCATCTCTGGTATTTTTTTTTCATACTAAATATATCTGCTGAAGTGCACTGTCAGTGAGTAGATTATAATACAATTTTGATAAGGCTAATATTTTCACTTATAGAAGAATTTAAGATGTGAAGATACTGTTTTATTTTGGACAATAATGTCAAATCACAGAAATGTTCAATGTCTTAAACAACAAAAAAATATCCTAACCAGTTTTATGAGTTGGACATCTAAAATGATTAAAACCATATTAATCACCATGCCAGATGTCAAATATGAGTATCATTTTCCCCCCAGGAAATCCAAGCCTCTGTGGAGTTTTGAGGACACCACGTCGCGTAACCTGACCATGAAGAGTGCGGAACAGCTTGAATACCTGTTGAAACACGTGATACGTATCTGTAAGGAGGTCATTCCTCTGTCGCATGTGGAGCATCGCTGGGCACAGGTGGCGCTGCAGCTGGCTTTGTCCTGTTCATCGAGACATTATGCTGGCAGGTCTTTACAGGTAAGCAAATGTCTTATTACAGGTAAAATTGCTATTATTTAAAAAGGTAAATTGATGTTGCTGAAATTAACCTCTAATTCTTGGGTTTGGTGGCGGTTCGGTGTTTTGAATCTTACATGAGGCTTATTTTTTAGTAGCCTTATATTGTCAGTCATGTTCTTTCCCATGTCCTATCTCAAGAACGAATACTGCATTTGGCGTCTCCTTTTTGCTTCATCTTATTTGTAAAATGTTTTGATTCATATATACAGTTTTGTATGTTTATGATGAGTTATTTATAGCAATTTTCTGTCTCATCTTCACGACCAGGTGTTCCGTGCACTCCATGTCCCACTGAACACTCGCATGCTGTCAGACATCTTGTCGCGTCTGGTGGAGACTGTCGCTGAGCAGGGCGAAGACATGCAGGGCTACGTCACAGAGATCATGCTTACCCTGGAGGCCGCCGTGGACCGCATCGACACAAACCTCCTAAAACCAATGGACTTTACCAAAGATCTTTTCCTGTCTACTCCTAATCTCACCAGAGAGGTGAGGGCAGAGATTAGGAAGAGTCCCACGACAGCAGTGGTGAAGTATACGCCGGCTTCGCACCATTCACATTCTAGGAGCACCAGTATGTCGCTGAGTGCCATAGCACGGCGCTCCGCACCGATGGCATCGTCACCACCTGTGGTGGCAGAGGTCAAAGGTCAGCACTGATCATTTTAGCCATTTTCTACCTTAAATACCACAGAATAGTTCTGCGTTTTTTGTTGGTGTTGTCCACCATTCAGTGCCATCACTGTTGCTGTATATTTTCATCTGTGATTGTTTTGTAGAATGCAATGAAGTTGTCATTCCCATTGTTTTGAATAATAATTTCACACATGCATTTTAGGTGTTTACTTCACTTATTTAATAAACTAAGGTATATGGTAGCATTTGTGATTAAAAAATTCTGTAAAAGTGGATGAAACTTGTAGTCTCATTGTAAAAGACAACTCCTGTCCCTCTACTAGTTGAAGCAATCCCTAGACCAAAGAGCAGCATAGAAGAGTCCAGTAAAAAGTCCACCAATCTGTCCCGGTCTCGAAGTGCCCAGTCTCTGAAGAATATCCAACAGGACACGTCCAGCCAGGACGATAAACTGACCATACTGGCCCAGATGTTCTGGATGGCCGTGTCCATGCTGGAGTCGGACTACGAATATGAGTTCCTGCTGGCTATTAGGCTGCTGGAGAAGGTGAGTACACGTGACATGTCAAAGGATTTCTGAAATACAGAAATCCTTGCTGGCTTGCTGGCTAGAGTATTTTTCTCAGTTTTTATGCAGATGAAATATACTTTGACAAATTCAGTAAGTTCTGTCAGAGCCCTGTTTTAACTGCTAAGAATTCTGAACTAATTTTTTCCCTTGTAAAACTTAGATCTAAGACTATTAATCAAAACCATACTGAATGATCTGATGTTTTCTCTGCCTTTCTCATTACGCAGTTACTTCTGAGAATTCAGCCAGAACGGCTAGAGTGCAGGGAAAAGCTGGACAAGATTCAGCAGCAAATCAAGTGGCCATGTTTCCCAGGTTTACAAGCTTTGTTACTCAAGGTGCGTATACTGTAATCTGTAGTCTGGCTGGTGATCATGTATATTTTGATCGCGACTTCGATGGTGATTAAAATCTATTAAGATGTACAAGGGAAGGATCAGAAACAAGAATTTTATTAGATTGTAGAATTGTTTTCAGTTACCTAGCATTAGAGCAGCTTGTGCATATGCCTTTGTGTCAGTGATTTGCTACCTTCTATCATACAGATATAGTACAGGGATGGCATAGATGAAGTTTTGAAATTTTACAACATGTAGGGGTTCCAAAATGATTTGATGTCCATCTCTCTTGACGTGAAGACTTGTACTGCAAGTAACATTTTTGCAAATTTTTCTGTTTCAGGGCTGCACATCATCTACTACAGCAGAGCCCACCTGGTCCTTGCTGGCCAAGCTGACATTGTGCTCCACTGCCCCTGTGGTTGACCCCTCTCAGGCATCAGGTATGGGGCTCACATACTCACTTACATGGGGGCATTAGGCTAGACAATTATGAAATGCTCAGATTTGACACACTTGCATGTATTGTCAGGTTAACTTTGTAAAATAATGTAATGTTTATTATAAAGTGAAGTATACTAGTCTAGTCAAAATCTATAATGAGTTCTGGTATATGTTTACAAACAATAGGTGTCTTTCATGGTATTATAAGCTGTGTATTGTATTTTCTAAACTGCGCTGTTTGTACCACCAGTATATAAACACCTTTTATTCCCAGGTTTTCCAATGAATGTGGTGGCTCTGCTGCCATACTTAGTGTACAATTATGAAGCTCCTACTTTACTTTGTGCTGAGGCTGCAGAGCATATTGCACAGGTAAATAGCATACATATTTTGTAGATTTTTAGTCTTTGATTTGACTTTTATAATATCTTCTATCCCCATTTTCTTTTTCATTAACACCAATATACTGAAATATAAATTTCTTTTTTTGATTAGAATGCACCCCTTTTTTCTTGACACCAAAACAACCAATAACTTAATTCTGTCAGCAAGTTAGAACAAAGGACATATCAAGTGTGTTGGAGGTAGTATACTGTGTCACTTCTCAATCTCTGGCCTATGTGGGCCTGAGCACACAATCTTAAATAGTACAGTATAATATATATGCAAGGGAGTACATGTTATGTTACATGTATGTATGACAACACATGATAGTGGTGTACATATTCTAGATCATAGATGTGTATGGAGCTCCCTATGAAGGTAATGACATAATGTGTGTTTCCATATCCTACATAACACATGATTCTGTTGTTTTTGCTCTAGGTGTGTATGGAGCCCCCTGTGAAGATGGAGAACCTGGCCACTGTAATGACCCTATACAGCCGAGGGACTTTCAACAAGGACAGCCACCAGTGGACCAAGTGTGTGGTCAAGTATCTCAATGATGTCTACTCCAAACTCAGCCTGGACATGATCAACTTCCTGGTTGAGGTAAGAGATGGAGTTCACTTCAAAGAAATTGTTAGCTATTGGTGAAAGAAACTTCTTTCTTTTCCATCAATTTTGGAAAAAAATATTGCTATTTGAAATTACCTATCTATTTTAATTAAAATACATTTTATACCATGTTGTACTTAGATACTTCACTGTATCAGGTTCTTATGTATTCGACTCCATGTTGTAGGTTCTAGAGAAAGGTCCATCCTGTTACCAAGCCTCTGTGATCCAGATCCTTCACTGTATCTTTAACTACATGGACATGAGCACCACCTCCTCCCAGGCCATTAACACAGAGCTCCTCAGGGTCATTGCCAAATACATAGAGGTAAATTTGAAGAAAAATTGTAAAACTGGAAATTGAAAACATTTTTATGTGAAGACAAAGTGATGTCACTGCATTTTGCCATTGGCTGTGTCTATCCACATGGTCAAAGCAAATGCTGATGCCATGCATGTTTTCTTATTGATATGATCTGATAAAATTTGGGTAATTTTATATAGATAACCAGTAGATAATAACTGAACATTTCTTCTACACCAGGGTTCCCACTGGAGAGAGGCTCTGAAGATCTTAAAGCTTGCAGTGACCAATACGTCCACCTACACTCTTCCTGTATCTGGCAGTATGGGCTCTATATCCTCTGACATGTCCAGTGTGTCCAGCCACTCTGGTCACTTCCTGGCCTCAGAGCTGGTATTCAGGAGGGAATTACCTGGTAATATATATAAATTACACACTATTGAATGGTTTTCTATGTCTGCATTTATTTTATACAAACAAGTCTTCTGTGTAATTATTGTACCACCAGCGTTAGCGCTGGCGGTACACATGGTTTTAGTCCCGTCCGTTCCGTTCCGCTGGCTCCGCCGGCTCCGCCGCCATGTTACCGTTACCGCTTCTCCTCCTAGACGGTAAGGGCCCCCATACCCATCTCTTGGATTTAGGTCANACCATCAGCATCAGCTCCATTTCCACCATCACTCCAGAAAATGTTTCCAAAATGGTGGATGTGGACTCCATGACCTCCATGAAAGAGGTGGTGACAGGAATTATAGACTTCATGACTGCTAGGTATTGTAGTTTATGATAATTAACTAATATGATTATCATGTCTGGTATTTTTTTTTTCATACTAAAATATCTGCTGAAGTGCACTGTCAGTGAGTAGATTATAATACAATTTTGATAAGGCTAATTTTTTCACTTATAGAAGAATTTAAGATGTGGAGATACTGTTTTATTTTGGTCAATAATATCAAATCACGGAAATGTTCAGTGTGTTTACCAACAAAAAATATCCTAGCCAGTTTTATGAGTCACGCATCTAAAATGGTTAAGACCATGTCAATCACGTTGTCAGATGTCAAATTATGTGTATCATTTTCCCCCAGGAAATCCAAGCCTCTGTGGAGTTTTGAGGACACCACGTCGCGTAACCTGACCATGAAGAGCGCGGAACAGCTTGAGTACCTGTTGAAACATGTGATACGTATCTGTAAGGAGGTCATTCCTCTCTCACATGTGGAGCATCGCTGGGCACAGGTGGCGCTGCAGCTGGCTTTGTCTTGTTCATCAAGACATTATGCAGGCAGGTCTTTACAGGTGAGCAAGTGTCTTATTACAGTTAAAAAAGTAAATTGTTGTTCCTGAAATTTATTTAAAATTTTTAGGTTAGGGATAGTGCAATGTTAAGAATCTGTTAAGACTTGTTGTAGGTCAAATTTAACATGTACATGAGGCTTATTATTAAATGGTCTTGTATTGACAGTCATATTCTTACTCGTATGCCATCTTAAGAATGAATACTGCAATTTGCTTTGGGAACCATATATTTGCTTATTATTCTGCTTCATATATGCTTTCTGTATGTGTGCATTATGCCGTTTATAACAATTTTCTGTGTCATCTTCGCACCCAGGTGTTCCGTGCACTCCACGTCCCACTGAACACGCGCATGCTGTCAGACATCTTGTCGCGTCTGGTGGAGACTGTCGCTGAGCAGGGGGAAGACATGCAGGGCTACGTCACAGAGATCATGCTCACCCTGGAGGCCGCTGTGGACCGCATTGACACAAATCTCCTAAAACCAATGGACTTTACCAAAGATCTTTTCCTATCTACTCCTAATCTCACCAGGGAGGTGAGGGCAGAGATTAGGAAGAGTCCCACGACAGCAGTGGTGAAGTATACGCCGGCCTCGCACCATTCACATTCTAGGAGCACCAGTATGTCGCTAAGTGCCATAGCAAGGCGCTCCGCACCAATGGCATCTTCCCCACCTGTGGTGGCAGAGGTCAAAGGTCAGGACCAATCATTTTCAGCATTTTCTTCCTTCAATACCGCAGAATACTGCAGCATTTTTGGTTGGTGTTGTCCACCATTCAGTGCTGTCACTGTTGCTGTACATTTTCATCTATGATTGCTTTGTAAAATGCAATAAATTTGTCATTCCCATTGTTTTGAGTAATAATTTCACACATGTATTTTAGGTGTTTACTTCACTTATTTAACAAACTAAAATATATGGTAGCATTTGTGATTAAAAAATGCTGTAAAAAAGGATGAAACTTGTAGTCTCATTGTAAAAAAACAATTCCTGTCACTCTAGTTGAAGCAATCCCAAGACCAAAGAGCAACATAGAAGAAGCCAGTAAGAAGTCCACCAATCTGTCCCGGTCTCGAAGTGCCCAGTCTCTGAAGAATATCCAGCAGGATACGTCCAGCCAGGACGATAAACTGACCATACTGGCCCAGATGTTCTGGATGGCTGTTTCCATGCTGGAGTCGGACTACGAGTATGAGTTCCTGCTGGCTATTAGGCTGCTAGAGAAGGTGAGTATACATGACATGTTAAACACTGGTCTCATGTTCTGTTTGCAGAAATGATCCTTGCTTGCTTGGATTTTTTTTTCCAGTTTTTATGCATATACAATTTGATTACACACATTATATTTTGTATGTAGGAGCTCAAAACCTAGTCATAAGGAATTTTAAAATTTTAGCTGGCCATGCTAACCTCATTATTTCATTCGTAAAACTCAATCTACGCCTTAATCTTAACCATACTGAATGATCTGATGTTTTCTCTGCCTTTCTCATTATGCAGTTACTTCTGAGAATTCAGCCAGAACGGCTAGAGTGCAGGGAAAAGCTGGACAAGATTCAGCAGCAAATCAAGTGGCCATGTTTCCCAGGTTTACAAGCTTTGTTACTCAAGGTGTGTATACTGTAATCTGTAGTCTGGTTGGTGATCCTGTAAATTTTGATTGCAATTTTGATGGTGATTAAAATCTACTAAGATGTACAAGGGAAGGATCAGAAACAAGAATTTTATTAGATTGTAAAATTGTTTTCAGATACTTAGCATTAGAGCAGCTTGTGCATATGCCTTAGTGTCAGTGATTTGCTACCTTCTATCATACAGATATAGCACAGGGATGGCATAGATGAAGTTTTGAAATTTTGCAACATGTAGGGATTCCAAAATGATTTGATGTCCATCTCTCTGATGTGAAAACTTGTACTGCAAGTAACATTTTTGCAATTTTTTCTGTTTCAGGGCTGCACATCATCTACTACAGCAGAGCCCACCTGGTCCTTGCTGGCCAAGCTGACATTGTGCTCTACAGCTCCTGTGGTAGACCCCTCTCAAGCATCAGGTATGGGGCTCACATACTCACTTACATGGGGGCAGTTGTTTTTGGAAGTGCAAATTTTTTTTTTCATTTTGTTGCTCTAGGACAGACAAATATCATATCCGGATGCTTATATTTGACACACTTTCATGTATTTCCAAGTTCACTTTGTAAAATCACTTAATATTTATTATGAAGTAAAGTATAATAGTCTAGTCAAAAATACGTAATGAGTTCTGGTATATGTTTACAAACAATAGATATCTTTCATGGTATTATAAGCTGTGTATTGAATGCTCTAAACTGTGCTGTTTGCACCACCAATATATAAACACCTTCTATTCTCAGGTTTTCCAATGAATGTGGTGGCTCTACTGCCATACTTAGTGTACAATTATGAAGCTCCTACTTTACTTTGTGCTGAGGCTGCAGAGCATATTGCACAGGTAAAAAGCATACATATTTTGTAGATTTTTAGTCTTTGATTCGACTTTTATAATATGTTCTATCCCCATTTTCTTTTTCATTAACACCAATATACTGAAATATAAATTTCTTTTTTTGATTAGAATGCACCCTTTTTTTCTTGACACCAAAACAACCAATAACTTAATTCTGTTAGCAAGTTAGAACAATGGACATATCAAGTGTGTTGGAGGTAGTATACTGTGTCACTTCACTATCTCTGGCCTATGTGGGCCTGAGCACACAATCTTAAATAGTACAGTATAATTTATATACAAGGGAGTACATGTTATGTTACATGTATGTATGACAACACATGATAGTGGTGTACATATTCTAGATCATAGATGTGTATGGAGCTCCCTATGAAGGTAATGACATAATGTGTGTTTCCATATCCTACTTAACACATGATTCTGTTATTTTTGCTCTAGGTGTGTATGGAGCCCCCTGTGAAGATGGAGAACCTGGCCACGGTGATGACCCTATACAGCCGAGGGACCTTCAACAAGGACAGCCACCAGTGGACCAAGTGTGTGGTCAAGTATCTCAATGATGTCTACTCCAAACTCAGCCTGGATATGATCAACTTCCTGGTTGAGGTAAGAGATGGAGTTCACTTCAAAGAAATTGTTAGCTATTGGTGAAAGAAACTTCTTTCTTTTCCATCAATTTTGGAAAAAAAATATTGCTATTTGAAATTACCTGTCTATTTTAATTAAAATACATTTTATACCATGTTGTACTTAGATACTTCACTGTATCAGGTTCTTATGTATTCGACTCCGTGTTGTAGGTTCTAGAGAAAGGTCCATCCTGTTACCAAGCCTCTGTGATCCAGATCCTCCACTGTATCTTCAACTATATGGATATGAGCACCACGTCCTCACAGGCCATCAACACAGAGCTCCTCAGGGTCATTGCCAAATACATAGAGGTAAATTTGAAGAAAATTTGTAAAACTGGCTTATTTCAATAGTTGAAGAATATCGGATTAGGAACCCAACTTTCACCATTTAAAAGATGACACTGAAAACGATTGAAGTATACTTGTAGCCATACATTGTTCTTAGTCAATTTTTTATAGGAACTATGTGTTATCATGCATAATTCATGATGTCTCAAAAATATCAAATTAGGGAGCATTTTGCAGTTTTTGTACAGGGCATCAAGTACAGAAACTCTGTATATTTGAATGAATATGTGTGGTGAAAGAGATATTTTGAAAGCACTTAAAACAGTTAATTATACTTACAAGTTGGAATTCTAAGGATGCTATGAGAACATTATGTACAGACAAAGTGAAATGATGTCTCTACATATTGCCTCGGTCAATCCACATGGCCAAACCAGGCCAACCCAGTTCTTGTTGATATGATCTCCCTACTGATAATTAAATTTGGATAATGCTATATAGATAACCTGTAGCTAATAGTTTATGATATTTCTCCTATACCAGGGTTCCCATTGGCGAGAGGCTCTGAAGATCCTAAAACTTGCAGTGACCAATACATCCACTTACACTCTTCCTGTGTCAGGCAGTATGGGCTCTATATCCTCCGACATGTCCAGTGTGTCCAGCCACTCTGGTCACTTCCTGGCCTCAGAGCTTGTATTCAGGAGGGAGTTACCTGGTAATGTATATAAATTACATATTAATATTTATTGGTGTTCTACATATGCATTTATTTTATACGAAAAAGTCTTCATCTGTGTAATTATTTGAAATTGGTGATTCAAAGACAATTATTTTCTGCTTGCATGAAAATTGTTTGATTATTCTTTTCTCATTTGATTAGTTTAAGTTTGGATCGAATACAGCATCTTTGTATTTCAGTTCAAACTATAGACTTCATGTTTGATGATTCAAAGACTATTTTTTCTACTTGCATGAAAACAGTTTGATTATTCTTTTCTCATTTGATTTGTGTGTTTAAGTTTAGAATACAGTATCTTCGTATTCCAGGTCGAACCATGGACTTCATGTTTGATATGAAGGAGACTCCATTGATTGGTGCCAGGGTGCTGGAGCCAGACATGCCAGTGCCCCTGATGAAGATTCACCTGAAGGAGAAGAGTTCCTCTGAGGAGGGGAGCTTGGACAGAAAGTCGTCAGCTTCCAAGGGCAGTCCTCCCCCTCACAGTGGAGATGTTATGGCGGGATGGAAGAGACCGCAGCTATCTCAGGTTGTTTAGCTAGAAACAAGAGATCTGTGATAAGTTGCATTCTCCATGTTGATTTAAAGTTGGCCTCATTGAATCAAAGACTGTGACTTATGTTAAAATACAGGTGTTAAGATTATGTCAGCAGTGAATTATAAAAAAAATCAGGTCATTATTTCCTCATTTCCTGAAAAAATGTCAATTTAATCTGTTAAATCATTTTTAAATCAGGGACGGACACGTGAGCGCCTGGTGAACCTGCTCACCTGCTACGGGCAGAGAGTGCTTCCAAAGAGTCCATCTGTAAGTATTCAGCTTAATTTAAATGCTATGTAGTTAGCCCAGGCCCATTAAGTCTATGTGGCAATGGCTTTTATCATTTATACATTTTGATTTTGTTTGTGCGACCCGTTAGAGTGATGAGGGAGATTTAAACCTGATTTATATTACCATTTGATTGATTACATTGAAAAGAATCTATGGAATGGGAATTCAAAGTTTGCATTTTTTTGAATGGAGGCTAACCTGTATTATCTTAACTTGCTTCATAAGTAGGTAGTTAGATGTCTTCTCTGGTACAGCTGTGGATTTAGAGGGTGGTCAGAAATTTTATGCATGGGAAGCTTGTTCCCCATATTTAAATCTAAGAAAAATAACACAGGTTTGGGCATGTTTTTCACATCATTTACACTTGATTATACTCATATGAAACATTTAGGTTAATAACAAAACTGCTGCAGAATTGATCTATTTCATTTGTTTTGAGTATATATGAATATTTTTTGCTTTCTCTCAGATCAATAGATTTCAGCAACCTGCTTTTATGTTTGCCAATTTTCAGTTAAGAATGAAAATTTTTAGCTTTCAGGGCTTCACAATGTTATTTATTAGAAATAATATTTTGATACCTTATGTTATGTGCAAGGGCATCCGCATGATTATCTGAAATCACTTGCTATTAATATCTGCATAGGATACACTGCATGCATTTACTGCATGGGGAACATTCAGGCTTTTAGCTTACATATATGTAGTAATGTCAGATTACTTGTGTATGACCAGCTAAGCTGGATACATTGTCTTATGACTGGTAATGATCATTTTTGCACAGTCTTAATTATTTTGTCTGTATCAGCACACTAGCTTTAAGAAGTTATGCAATAAGGTTCCAGATTTCATGCAGCAACAGTTAATGAAAATTTAGTTTCAGTTAAGGATACTACTTCATTCGGATAATTTTTTTTCTGAAAGACAAGTGTTATTTTTTTTTGCTTAATGTGTCTCTTACTCATGAATCTGAATGTAGCCTAAATGTTGTCTGTTAAGTTTGTAACTCCATGTGAATATGTCTGTCTTTATTTTGCCATCTCTCTGTGCTTTCCAACAGGACAATGCTATTAACAAGGTATGGTGTGAATGCTTTCTGTAGTGACCAATAGGGGGAGGGGGTGGGGTCACTCTGAAGTTTTGTATATTTGTAATTTTTTACGTAAAGTGTTTCTCAACATGTTTTATTATATACCTGTTTTATACTCATAAAACCAGAAGTGCTTACTTCTGATGTGAGAAATGACATATAACTTGAGGTTAAACATTTTGAGTCTTCAATCTGAGATTTTGTTCTGAAAAAAAAATTATGTTTATTTTTTCCCATCATTTTTTATGCCATCACTTATGTCTATGGCTTGTATTTGGTATGTTTCAGTACTACCAAATACTGAACTTGGTCAGAGTGACCTCACATCTTACTGTTGCAGATAGGATTATCTATTAGGCTATGATATTTTAGTGAATATTTTCTTATTGGAGGACAGGGTTCTTAGCACATGTGAAGTAATTTTTCAAGACCTCAACAAAAATAATTTTTTTTAGTTACTATAACAGTAGGTATGTAGGAGCAAGGTGGAGAATTTCTCCATTAGCTTTTTCTTTCAGAAAAACAAATTAAATCAACTGCAGTGTAAAATTATTAGAAATTGATGAGGAATTGGTATTTTCTTCAAATTTTATATATAAAAGGTAAATTAAGTATCTATTGCATGAAGATATTTTCTCAAGTACACTGTATGAATGGTTACTTTTTCCAGCTTAGATGTTTTGGTGAAGGTGTCAAAGATAAAGCTGACATTGAGTAGTAGCAGTACAGGTGAAGGTATTACTTGGTCATCTTTGATAGGGTCTCTGTAGTCTCAGGTGTGGGCTGTTTGCTAACTGACTACTCTTACAGATAGAAAAGCTGGAGTGTCTCTCATACAAGTTTTTACTACCTTTTTTTACGCATATTAATATAGTCTTCCTGTTGATTTTGTTTCAGGTGTTTTTGCGATTCTCATGATTAACAAAAGATGTAATTTTTGCAAGTGTTGGAGTACCAACAACACCACAACTATTATAAAAATCATGGGTACACACACACACACACACACACACACACACACACACACACACACACACACACACACACACACACACACACACACACACACACACACACACACACACACACACACACACACACAGAGAGAGAGAGAGAGAGAGAGAGAGAAATATTTTTATAGCTACATCGTGAGGGTGCTAGCATACCTATATTTCATACCAGTGGTTCATGTAAAGTTCCATTTATCAAACCTTGTGCATGGTCATCTTCCAAGCTGTGTCAACGTTCAGCATTAAGCCAGTGATATACATATTCCAGGTAATTATTCATTATTAACATTATGTGTATTGCAGGTGATCTTCAGCCAGTCCAGTGACACTATAGAGAGACAACCCAGTATTTGCTCCAGTAGTGAGGAGAACTCCATGAATGACGGGATTCCAGGTAACTAAACTTTGGGAAGGTTCTGGAATTCATTGAGAGAAGATATTATATCAGAAATAAACGAAATATTTTTTGTATGATAAAACTTTCATGCTGTGCTGAATTTAATTTTATTCCTTATGTTTCAATAAGTTTTATTAACATATGTTGGCAAAGACTAATGGATTTAACCTAATGATAAGTTCTTTTTTGCCTTCACATTCTATACTTAATTGATACTAGAAATTGTGGAAGGTATAATATTGGGTGAGGTAGATTTATACATATTTAATTACTTTGAGGTGATGGACAGAAAGCTCAAAGAATTTTGACATTGTTTTAGGTGAGATGAAGTTAGATGAGAGCAGCAGCAGTGAGATCATGGTGATGAAATCATTTGACTTCTTAAACAAAGAGGAAGAGGAAGATCCGGAGGTAAATATCACAGATTCAAGTCTGTCAGTATTGGAAGTTGTCAGAGAAGATCTGTTGGTTTAACAACTAGAGATTTTCTGGTTCAACAACTGGAATTGGCCAAATTAACTGAATATAGGTCAAAATGGAAAATATAATGGTACTGACTTCCAGAACTGAAAGATCCAGAGAATTTTGGTTTAAATAAGGAGGACAGATGTAAACAAACAAAATTGGGAGAACCCTCAATGAAATTGGGAGCACTAAACCTGACATGAGATGAAAAAAAAAGAAGTTTTTCACAAATTAGAATACTTAAAATATCAGATGACATTCACATGACAAACCCCATCTTTTCTATGACATATCACTCTAATAGTACACTTAAGTTAAAGTCTTAATTTTTTGTCCTCAGAGCCAAGTGGGTTTCAACTGGCCACTCCACAAGAACTTCCCATCCCAGGGGAGTTTAGAGGGGAGATCTGAGAAGGAGGGCAGAGCAAGTAAACAGCCCGAGGCAGCTTCAGACTACTCTGACGAGGATGAGAAGACCCAGAGAACCAACTCCTGGCCCCTGGCAGAGGTAAGATAACAGCAGGGCTACGTGTGTGGGGTATGATAGGATGTATGAGGACCAGGAAGAGAGAAAAATTTGAAATATGCTTAATTCTCCTCATATTCCGTCTTCATCAGCAGCCAAAATGTATATTTAAAATGGTTAAAAAAGTTTTTTGTATTGCTATGTTAACTTGTCATTCCTTCTTATTTGGCAAAAAGAATGATAAATGTAAGCTTGGATTTATATCATCTTCATAAAATTTTAATTGGTGAGTGCTTATATACCAGTAAGAGACACACATGGGGAAAATCAGTTGCTAAGCATCTTTTTCTTAGGTCAGACTTTCAATCCACATATTGCAATTATAATTACTGCCCCTCCCCCCCCCCCCCCCCCCCCCCCCAAAAAAAAAAGGGGGGGGGGGGGGGGAGCAGCACAGTAGCACACTGTTCATGATCTATTTAAGATTGTTCCGTGTTGCCAACTTTCCAGTCTCCTTCCTGTGAGTCTCCAGTTGAGGAAGTATTGCATCAGGACCTTGTCACTCAGAGGTCCATCATGGTGACCACGCCCAGCTCGGACGCCACTGATGGCACAGAAGACGGACGTCTGCGCAGACATTCTAGCCCACTCTCAGGGTCAACGTAAGATCAATTTTATATATATATTTGTTTCATTGATTAGTTGACTGATTGATTATTTGTGGTATTGCACAGGATTTAGAAGACCATGTACAAAAAATCTGTCCTTATTGTAAAGTCCAAAAGTAATTTTTTAGCAGAATGTGTATTTTCTTGAGATGTGGCAAAAGGTCCTCTTTTCATGAAAATTTGTTCAATATGCCATTCAGGTAAAAAAAAAAGTCCACTTAAAAAAAAAAAAGAACCCTATTCTCTTCACAAATTGCTGACTTCAGGACTTAAGTATATGGTGTAATCAGGCAATGAAATTTTTAATACAATGTATCTGATATTCTCTCAGGCACAGTGTCCATAGCATGGGCAGTGACATGGACATTGCTGACCTCAGTCCAAGCAATGCCTCGCCAAACTTCTCCAACATGGCGGCAGCATTTCTTAGTATTCAGAGTGACGAGATAGAGGACATCTGGAACGCCCACGTGACGAGAATTATGACAGATATGACAGGGTCGTACGCTGTTAACACGTACCAGTTCTTTGTTAGGTTGTACAAGGTAAGTATTGTGTACACCGTAAATCATTTTGACAGAAATTAACAAATTGATATCTGATAATGTTATCGTACATTGGATGTCACTATTCAGCACCTTAAATACTTCATATTATGATAAGAGGTTTATACAGTGGTCAAATAACACTGGCCAGTATAGTGGTCAAGTACCACTGACTAGCAGTGGACAAATAACACTTCCCAGCTACATTGTCTCCTTCTGGAAAAAAATGCTGTGTCTTGAATCTCATTTTATCACCATACTTTTTCTGGCATGACCATAAAAATTGACACTTAAAATATCCATCTACTAATCAATCAGGAACTGAGAAGAAAGCTGACCAGCCTGACCAAGGAAGCGTGCTACTATCTGGCCAAGACGGAAGAGCTGAGGTCCATAGCGACACAGTTCCTGACAGTGCTGGAGCTGCTGTTGTCTCAGGCAGAATGTCCGCATGTCTTCACTGAGCCAGATACGGTAAGTTGAATGGAGACCCCATCTCTTTTTCTTCCACTGAAATCCTGGAAATCCTTGATTATTGTTCAAAAGTGCATTTGATATCTGTCAATTTTGCAATATACAGTTGTGTCTCTTCTTTTTTTTTTTTCAAATTTAAGGCCAGGGTTTACAGTAATGTATATTAATAAATCGATATTGTACTTTTATAAAATTTTGATTTTTTTAAAGTGTATTGCGCTAATGGACAATGCTTTTCTTTTTAATGATCTGCGCACGTTTCGTCTCCTGACAAGATTCAACAATGGCACAGAACATATTAAGCTTCTAAAGAAATGTTGTTTGATTGAGGAAATTACTGTAGTATTTTCCTATATGATATCGTTTCAGTTGATAAGCTGCAAGCTCCTACAGCAGCACAAGTTTTGTGTTCTGGAGATCAATGAGACATATGAGACTTATATGTTGAGGAGAGAGCAGGCAATAGAGGTATGGCAGCTGTGCCTTCGATTCTAGTGGCGGATTTAGAGGGGGGGTCCTGACCCCCATCGGTTTCTGAAAAAAAAAATCACACTAATATTCCCCTCTTGGAATTAGAATTTTGACTAGCTGATTTATAGTACTAAACCATACTGTTTAAAATAATTTGATTACCTAATTAACATCTTTAATTTTGTTTTGGTATTGTTAAAAAAAATAAAGAAAACACCCGTGTTGGTCAAATGAAACCTAGTTAGATGGTCAGTTGTTTTACCTTACCTTTTCAGACCTTGGACAGTATCAAGTCTTCAGTAAAACTGCAGTCACTGGGGGAAAATGTCAGTGATTTCTGCGGAGAGGAACAGGTGGGTTAGACATCGAGATAGATCATAGGAAGTTTGAGTGAAATATAACGGAATGAAATTTTTAAAATCTGGAAATCATTGGTTACTCTTGATAGAACTAATGGAGCAACATTATATTTTAGACTGAATCATGTATGTTACTTTGACCACTGCACTGTAGTATATGATAACATTGATATTCCAAGTAAAGACAGGCTGGAAGTATTTCAAATGATACATTGAAGATGCTATATGTATTCTGTAGTGTTATGTTATGTAATACATAAATGAAGGTGTATATAGTGATTAGTCCATTGATTAAACATAATCACCTATCATTTAAAAAGTTGTTTGAAATGTTTGTCTTTACTTGGAAAATGCAACTTAAAGCACTAGACTAATTCTATAAATATAAATAGAGAGCGTTCAAAAGTATCATTAATTAAACCACTAATGCAATAAAACTATGTGTTTTACTAACGTGTAAAATTGAGTAGTTTTGCCAGTGTTTGTCCACTAACATAATGAGCACTCACTTCTCTGTAGGGGGCCACGCCAGGGACAGAATGCTATGCTAAGGTTGGAACTTACCTCAGCATGCTACTCTAACCAAGGCTTTTGATTTGTCTTCATTTGATTTTCTTTGCTAACAAATTGCTTTGTTTCATACCCATTTGTTTTTAACATGCTGCAGCAAAATGTAAGTTTGGAGAGGTCTTGGGTACATTCAGACGTCGTTTTTTTATACAGTTGGCGAGTGTGGTATATGTAATGTGAATTTTTTGTTGTAAAATTTGTTCAGGGTATGGAATTTATACTCTGTGATCTTTTTTTTTTTTTTTTTTTTTTTTTTTTTTTTTTTTTTTTTTTTTTTTTTTTTTGTAAACAATATAGCCTTATTTCTGAGCATGAGCTAATTACATTGATTGTTGTAGCATTTGTTTTTTTATTTGGTGGAAGTGCCTAGCATAAAAGCTTTTTTCTATATTTGCTGTTTATGATGCAGTTACTGGCTTTATTTTTCCCCTTTCTCTTGTTTAGTGTTATTCTATGTATATTAAACAAAATCCTAAATTTCAAATTGTCCATGTGAATATTTGTTATTTAATAGCAAGTTAGAATATATTTAAAAGAAAGTCTAAGTTTCACAGATTAGGTATATTGTGCTTTTAAAAGTAAATAAGGCTATTGTGATACATACTGTTTTGTGTACTCCCTTACATTTTGGTGTGGTTGCATGTTTTCCCTGTTACAGGTAACCAATCAGTCAGTAGAATTCTCATAACACATTTAATAATAAAAACTTGATATATTTCTGTTACTGCAAAATGCACTCTGTTGACTGGGTATTGTATTGTAATAACTATAATGAAAACAGCATTTGCAGCATTTTTTCCTCAGCATCTTTTATTTAAAGGTTTGCAGTAGAAATTAAAAAAAAAACTCTGTTCATAGAAAGTTATCTATTTCATTTTTATTTCCTTTTCTGCCTTTTCAGAAAATGGACCTGTGTAAATGCCTGTACAGACTTCACTTTCAGCTGGTGCTTCTGTTTGAGAGTTATGCCAGACTGGTGAACATCTTGTCTGGTGCTGCCACCTGTCCACAGGTGAGACATTTAACACTGACAAAATTGTATTAAGGATAGACTAGTTTGGAAAATTTGAATACAGTGGTTGAATGAGATTAAGTGTGACTAAGTTTGGGAGGATGTTTAGTTTTATAAGAATATTGCCTATTTTAGGCATTGTTGTGGCTCAACGTTCATGTGTCAAAATAAATGCTTAGCATTACATTGTACATATTTACAACCAGTTATTTCAAAACACCAGTGATCCATTGTGTTACAAAAAGAATCATTAAGGACTTCTGTTATCTCCAGATAATAGATATGTCCACCGATGTGACGGAGGTCCGTAAGGAGTTGGTCCACGCCATAGAGGAAGTGGACACAGAGCAGGTGTCCCCCCTGAATGTGGACCCCGGTCAGTTGAACAAGGAGAATGCGGAGAAGATGCTGGTGGAGTACATGACCAACCAGCAGTACCAGAGGGCCGTCATGCTGATTCGAGACCTCAGGTAGGTGATAAGTAGAAGTTTGTAAGTAATTGAAATGGAAAATTTTATTAAAGGCTAGGCTTGCATAACATAGAAAATGCCAATTGATGTTATAAATTATTGCTGTCGTACCACCAGGGTGAGCACTAGAGTTACAGATTATTTCACCTAGAACTAGTTTCATTTTGGTTGAAAATAAGATTGCATATTGCAATTCAAAGGTTTATTTGGTGAAAAACAGAAAGGTGTCTGAAAAAAAATTTTTTCCAGCTCCTTGTGGGACAGTGATGCCTTTGGTGTTGACCAAGTTAATGTTATATTTTCCAAGTCCCTGCGGCTCAGCAACATATTTGATATGTACTAAAATGATGCTGTTATATTTTCCAGGTCCCTGTGGCACAGTGATGTATTTGGTGTGAACAAAGACGATGATGTGCCGGCACTGTTGTCCATCTACTGCAGACACCTGGCAGAGAAAACACCAGGTCTGTGACAGTGAATATGTGAAAATTATATGGTGCACAGCATTTAAGATTCATATTGCAGACTTTTAGCTCTTTCCACATGCAAGTACTGCCCACTTTCATGATAATTCTTCAAGATGTTATGTTTTTGATGCAGCATTTTATCTAGTGAAAGACATGAAATAAATGGCAATGTATTATGATTTCAGAGAAGTTTTTACAAATTGTTTCACAAGATTATTGATTTTAAAAGCCCTTAATAAGCTTACCCAGTTTCGTTGATAAGTGAATATATTTTTAAAACTCAACCTTTTTTCTTCTTTTCCCTCTTCTTTTAATGTATTTGACAAGTATTGTGTTAACCATAGCATGTTGATAAGGTGTTATGCCCTTTTCAGGGCTACTTGTGATCACCAAACCTGAGCACACCCTAGGAGAGGTGTGCGGTCAGCTGATGGAGGTCAACGTCCAGCTGTCCAGATCTATACAACAACTGGAATTAATGTCCAGGGAGGACAGAGAGGTGGTCATGAAGAAGCCAGAGTCCAGTACATTATGAGGGTGAAAGGGCAACCATGGATCCAAGTGGGAAGTGAATTGGAAAATATTTGACAATGTCTGGATGTGTTATTGCTACAGCTGATGTCTAGGTGTTATCTACCAGTAGACTTCCCCTTGTAAACACTCTATTCTCTGGAGATGTACAAAGAGTGCTCAGGGTTCAGGCTGTAGGTGTCATGTATTCTATAGATATATGATATAAGAGTCCGTTGTTGAGAGCTGGCTATCTGGAACAATGTGACATGTCTAATTGTCACATCTAGAGGGGAGAGGACAGTAGAGACTACAGTAGTCTAGAACTCTGTGGTGTGGGGTTATGTCTCACATTGTCTCGTGTCTATTTGTCATGCCTGTCATCCATCTGTTGAGACAGCAGGAAAGTAATTGTAAGCATAATGGCCAAGGAAATGTGTAATGCTTGCTACTAAGAGCAAAACGGAAACAGAACAGAAATAGTTGGCACTGTTCTGACCCTCTATCTGGAAATTAAGTCTAGACCTTATTTGTTGGTGAGTGTCCAGCAGGAGACGTTTTTTAAAGTGCAATTTCTATTGAATTTGCCCATTTGATATTGATTTATAACAGTAAGGTATAAAATAGTGAAGGACACCCCTCCCCCCTCATGTGTAGATGGAAGAAGGGATTCTAGGGTGGAGGCACTGTGATGCTCTTCAAACAACATTACTGTTGAAAAAAAAAACAATAAGGTTTAGTTTGCTCGGAGTAAAAGTCCATGTTAATATTTGTTCTGTAAAATAGTACAAAAATGAGTTTATCCATAATTTTTCATTTAGTTAAATAAGTCTTGATAGAGCTCTCTTATTTAAGAATGTGTGTCCGAAAGGATTTATAATTTAATCATATTATTTATTGATTTATTTTAGTTGGTTTAATTTATTCTGTTTAACTGCTGTGCTTTAAGACCGATTTGCACCCTTTAAAAATGCTGAAGCTTTGAAGCTCATCTGTAACTTTGAATGGTTCTATATTTCAGCTGGCACTTTTTGGGGGAGTGGTGCCTGATATTAGAAACTGATAATTTATAGAAAAGAATTTGAAAAGCTGATTTCACAGAAACATTTCAGAATGTGCTGATTTCTAGAAATATTTTACAGACAATAGAGGACAGCGTTTTTCGATAAAATGCATATTCTACTGTGTTTACATGCTGCATGACATTCTACTTGTTAACAGATGAGAGATGGTTCAATGTGTTGACAAGCATAATAGTAATTATTTAGTGTTGATGCTTGTTACACGGAATCTTGATGTTGACAAATGGATTCTGTATCGTGTAGAATGAGGAAAGCAAAAGTGTTAGATAAGTGAATATTGTAGAAAGATTTTGACGAGGTTGTTAAAGTTAAAGAGAGAAAGATATTAATGTAATATATATATTGAGATGATTAATATTGGAATGTGCCAATTGTTCAGTGTATATAGATGTATTATTGTATATCACTGGAAATATGAAGATTTTTTTATGAAACAATTTGTCTCCATCAGTCATTAATAGCCATGAAAATCTATTCACAGGTTACCTAGAAACTCAGTTATTGGTGTTTCATATAATACACAGAGTATTCAACTCCTGAATTATATACTCTCGACCAAACAAGTTCAGAAACAAAATTGTTCTTCAAATCTTCAGTGTTTATGAAAAAAATGGTGGGTGCATTATCCATCAATATTTGGCTAAAAAATTTACCATACCTCAAAATAAGTGTTTCTGAACATTTTGGGTAGTTTGTTGCTTTGATTTGACATAGTTTGCAGTCTTTATAAAAAGAAAAAATAGGAAGTAAAATAGCAGCACAATTTTATTGCACAGAGCTAAAGAAAGTAAACAATATGCATCATAAAACTATACAACTCTACAATGAATAAACTCAACCAAGATAATAGTAACAAATACCAAGTAACTTCCCCTTCATACACTGACATCAGAATGGGATTATTTTCTTTTTTTAAAAGAAGTACAATATAAAGGTGAAAACATTCCCTCTTCCTGAGTTAAAAATATTTTAGAAATCCACCAAACCTCATTACAATTACAACTTATACTGAAGAAACTGTCCCACGTTACCTTGAAGAACAAATACATTAGACAAAAGTTCAAAGTTAGTCTGTATAATATGCGCTTTTCCATAACAATAAAAATTTCACATGTATACATATTAATCTGACAAATTGTGACCATGAAGTGTATTACAACAAGACAAAATATCTCATTCTGTAAGCCAATTTACATCTATAAAACAAGACGAGCGAACACACTTGTGGTAGAGCAGCTTCAGACAGCATTTGCTGGTCGACCAGGAACATGCGGTCAACTTACACAGAGAAGCACCTGCAGCAGATCCAAATTTTTCAAAATGGCTGCTCTGCAGCAGACGTTGCCCGTTTTCAGTAATTAAAGCTTCTTGTTGGCAGTCATGATATTCTGGTGCTTTTTAGCTTGATCATCCTCTGACATCCACGACATTGATTACTACACATTACTCAATAGGAATTGAAATTTAAAAAAAAAATGATAATTACACAGAATTTAAAAGTTGGGGGAGCCATCTGCATCTTCAAATACTTAAAGGGATAATAACTCTTCGTTTCAGCCAAAAAATGAATTTTCCTGGAGTAAACAACAATTTTCCCATACTTACCAATGGTTAATGAATCCATTTTTACATTCAAAGTTAGTCCCTGGTTTTTTTCTAAAAAGTTTGGTTTTTTGTTAAAATCTCTTAAGAGATTTTAACTGAGTATAGCCATCAATGGAGGTCACATCGCCTAAAGACAAGCTCAGATATCAGAATAATAGCTATAACTGCCGTTTTTGTGGTAAAACAGAATATATTATATTTCTGTGAGTTATTCACAATGTTTTTTTTTGAGAAATATAGATCTCATACGAAGAGTTATTATCCCTTTAAGCAGACTGCTGGTTGGAGTGTTAGGTGTCCCCACCATTATATTTGAACTGGATAAAAAAAAGTGACAACAGAATGCAGGTGAAAGAACTAGAAATGACAAAATACCCTTCCCCCACAATATTAAAAGAAACATGGTTAACAAAAAAAATCAGTACTTTATACCTTTTATGACTGAATTTCTTTGCACAATACAAGGCACCATTGTTCATGCTGTAGAAATGTCTTCTGCTCTGTTATTATTACGAACACCAGATGGCACCACCTCCTGGCCCTGTCCACCATTACACAAGCTGTTTACATGAAAAGCTGAGCATCACATGCCAGTGTGGTTAACATGGAGTAATATGGCTTCCATGCTGCATGACCTGCAGCCGTCAGAGGTGATTATTAAAACTCCCTTAAGAACTAGAGTATGCTTAAGTTTATACTGGTCTTAACCCCCCTTCTCCGCAAACCCACACCCTGAAGCTTTCCTCACAGCCTGGCCAAAAAATGAAGGCTACTGTGCACTTGATCATTTTGGGAAAATGACTGTTAGTTACTGAAAATTAAGTACTGTCCCTTTCCTTTTTCACCAGAAGCAACTAAGAGGAGATTGAAATAAATCAATTTACAGGTAACAAAAAACTGTGGTAGTTTGCAGCACAGCTGTTTGTGAGGAGCTGAACTTCAATGTGGTGAAGCTCTGCGAGGATAACTGGTCTCAATACTGGCAAGTAATTGTGATCTTCCCATCTCCACACCTCAAATATACAGTCACTTCTCTTCTACATCAAAATCAAGAACCAAAAGTTTCGTTTCCTCCGTCCCATTTCGACTCCCCACAGCACAGACCAGTTTAGTGTTACTGCACCTAACCCTCCACACCACCCCGCCGCTGCCACCGCTGTCCAATGCCACCAAGTTCCTCAGGAAGTCACCCGTCCTTAGATCCCAGAGTTTCACAGTGCCGTCATCCGAGGATGTGATGACAAACTTCTTGTTAAATTGTAAGCATGTGACAGCACTCTGGTGCTTGTTGGGACCTGAAGGAACGTAGAGAGAAAAATAAGGAGAAATATTTAAGGAACAGAGAGAGAGTAATGAAGAAAAATATTTAAATTTTACACAGAGATTCTGACCCAAATTCACAGAGCTTGCTCAAACTTTGAATTTTGACTTCAATAAATTTGGAGTTAAAAATTGTGCAATTTGCGGGAAAAAAAAATACACCATAGTTTTAACAAATAGAAAATGTTTGTATCTTTCAACAGAGCAAAACTTGAACAGATGATAGGCAAATCTATTCCCTCCATAGCCCCCCAAATAACCCCCCCCCCCTCTCCCCTTACCTTGTAAAGTCTGCAGACACTGCCCAGTGGTGATATCCCATATCTTGACTGTAGAGTCTGCATTCCCTGAGACCAATATATTGTCCTTCAGCTCCATCCCACTGGTCAGGGACTGGTGCCCTATCAGTGTGTGTAGACAGTTCCCAGACTCCACGTCCCACACACAGATAGATGTGTCCAGTGAGCCGCTGACTATGTGGACCCCATCAAACTAGAAATATGATTACAGGGTGTAAACTATGTGGACCCCATCAAACTAGAAATATGATGAAATGGTGTAAACTATGTGTGGACCCCATCAAACTAGAAATATGATTACATGGTGTAAACTATGTGTGGATCCCATCAAACTAGAAATATGATTACATGGTGTAAACTATTTGTGGACCCCATCAAACTAGATATATAACACAATATATGTAAATGAAATGAAATATAACAAATATATATGACACAAAAAGCATATGCAAACTATTGGTACTTGTTCAAGTTTATGATTAAGATGAGGATAAATCAATACTGCATGAAAAAAAAAATGAAAAAAAAATTACTGAAACAATTCTTTTCCCACTGTCACCCACCTGTAATGAGTACACTCTATTAGTATGCCCAGTCAGTGTGTGCAGACAAGTCTCTGTCTCTGGGTCCCACACCTTAACTGTGTAGTCATAGGCCCCACTGACCACTCTCCGGCCATCATACTGGACACACCTGACCGCTGCCACATGACCCATCAGGACATGGAGACACTGGCCGGAGTCTATGTCCCAGACTCTCAGGGTGGCGTCTCGGGATCCGCTAACAACCCTGAAAAAGAAAGGGCTTGCACGTAAAATATAATATTCATTAATTGAAACACTGGTAAGATGACCAGGGCATCAGTGTTGAAAAACTATTAGTTATAGATAAAATACTGTTCTCACTTAAGTACATGCTTTACATGAAGAATTACGTTAAAACAATTACATTTTGTATTCATGTCTCAAACAAATGATATCTAGAAACACACCAATTTTGTTTTTATCCATCAGAATTTTCCAAACATATATCATTCCATGCACAAGAGGAAGCATTCATCAAGTTGAAACAGTATTGATATCAATGCTACAGATAGACAAAATTTACATCTGCTTCAGTTTTTTTTCACACCCAACATGGAATTGTCACATGGTTCTACTGAAAACTGCCACCAGAGGGGGCACCCCAATGCTACGTCTTCTCAAACACAATGCTATGAAAATTCTTCGAATCGCACATCTGTATTACTAAACAACAATTAATTACGGTAAATTCCACTCACTTGCTTCCATGCAGATGCATACACCTGACCGTGGACGTGTGTCCGTACAGAGTGTGTATACACTGACCAGTGTCCGCATTCCACACCTTCAGGGTGCGGTCAGTGGACCCGCTGATGATAATGTTACCGTGCATCTGAGATGACCACACCCCTCCCGTGTGACCTACCAAAGTCCTCAGGCACTGGAACAGAATGATGAAACTTTAAGCATGAGTGTGGACTTCATTGGTATAATAAAACCATGCATCTGACGATTCAACAGAGACCTCAGTGTGAACAACATAATTTCACAATGGTTAAAACTCAGGAGACAGCTGTAACATTCACAAAACTTTGGAAATTTTCAATTTCCAACAAAGATTTTTTCTTAATTTTAGTGTTTGCACTAATATGTATCCAAGAAAATCAATTTCTGTTACCCTTTCCTTCATTTCTACTAGACACATGCACAGCAAACTAATATGGCCCTTTGATAATAATTCTGTATGGCAACTAGCCACCATCACTTAACACGTCTTTCCACCTGGGTACATCGACAACCCACTTCCTTAGTTACAGCACAGACTAAAGAAGTTGCTCCAGTTATAACTCTTTTTTTTTCTACCAGCTACAGTAACCCATTTTGTCTACAACAGCCATAGGCCACATTCAGATTCAAACATCGTACCAGCTGGATCCATCCAACTCCGTGAGAGATTCTTACTTAACAGCATTTAGTGTAATCAGCTTAACAGTCCGGCACATCTCCTAGAATAGTTATTTAATTGGCTGATTACCCCCTAACAACTTGAGGAGGGATGTCAGACATTAAGCCGATTACTGATTGCCCATAGGGAGAATCTCTCTCAAAATTGGATTGATCCAGCTAGTATGATGGGTTTATGTGAACCCTCCCAAAGTTCTACAGCAGAGTCTCACCTTTCCTGTGATAGCTGACCACACTTTGAGGGTGTTGTCATCTGAGCCACTGACTATTCTAGTACCACAGAACTCAAGGCAAGTGATCACATGGTCATCATGCCCCTTTAACAACTGAAACAAGGATCAAAATTAATTGAAGTTAAATTGTACATACAAAGAATGGAAACTTAAAATGAAGAACAATCATGAAAAACTAACTTATCTAAGGCTGATTAAATTATTTCAGGTCAATATCAAAACTGCCCATGATTAAAAGAGTTGAAAAATCTCATAAGCTGCCATCATCTCTATACCATTTTTTTCAGCCTGCAAAAGCTGGGTTTATTTTTCTTTTTTGGACATAGTATCAATTTGCTGATCAATTACAATTTCCAGACAACAAGATACCTTTGGATCTCTGATATTCCCTGTCCTCCAATTTTGTTCAATACGATGCTGACGCATATAAAGGCTTTTCCACGGGCTCTTCTGAAAACTGGATGATGACCGCCTCCTGATGTGGTTCTCAAACACAGTAGTCTCGTCGATATTTTCTTCTCGACATTTTTCTCGCCACAAGAGATTGTCTTCAGCAAGCACCCTCCAGTAACGGCACGTCTGCGCCGCACGAAGTAAGTCTTTTGGATCCAAAAAGGATAGTACATACAGAGCAAGCTAAAATGAAAAAAAAATTGTATATTAACTTATAAAATCATAAAATAAGGAAATGACTAGTTTGTGAATTTACCATGCAAATGTTAATGCTACTTTCAAAACTACTGATTACTGATAGAAAAGCAGCCTTACCTCTTTAGGTAGCAATGAAATAAAGTCCCTCTGGAACTGAGGCTCGATTACCGCCATCATATGGCGTACCTGTGTCGGCTCACAGAGCTCTATCAGCTCATCCAAGGCCAGAAGACGCTCAGCATTGCTCCAGCCCTGAACACGAGAAATAAAAAAAGTCATTCACAACTGCTGTCACAAATATACACAATCACACGTGTTATACCAAAAATACAAAAACAAAATCCTATTATAATAAATTAAAAGACATGCTATTAAGGCTGCATTCACATGAAAAATCTATTATCTAAAAATCTATTTGCAGTATCTTGTGATCACAGTCTGTGCCCTGAATACCCCTGAATACTGGCAGTGCGGAGAATTAATTACAGCTTTGGAAGTTACTGGCTTGCGCTGCCCGTAATTATGCCGTGGAGTATTCAGGGCACAGACCGTAATCACAAGATACCGCAAATAGATTTTTAGAAAATAGATTTTTCATGTGAACGGTCCCTAAGCCTCCTCTCTTCCCCCTCCCCCCTTCTCTCCTCAAAAAGATGTTTATAAATAGCGCTGTATTTGCTGTGCTAATTAAGTAAAATCCACATTAGCTTCTACAGAATTTCAACACTAAGATATCTGATATTCGAGATGAGACCAACTTACAGAGAAAGTGTGGTAAAACCTTTTCTTACCACACAGGTAAGTACACCTACCGTATGTGACGAAATCAATAACATTTTCTCAGAAAGCTGTCAGCTTATATACATAATGTATTTTCTTGCACTAATCCAATATTTCCATTGCACATAGAAAATGAAGTGTATTCCTAAACCTGCCAATACAGTCTGTTGCTTTTTTAAAAAATCCAAATCATAATGAAAAAGGAATAATGAAAATACCAGGAATGTGTCCAGCCAGTCCGCCAGGCCTTCAGGAGGGTGACTTCGAGACGGAATTCTTCGGATCGGTTGAGCATTTGCACTTGTTTTGATTGTACCAAAATTATGGCAGACATTGGACAGAGCACTGGATGAGAGAGAGAGACAAAAAACATAATCTTTAGAAATGAAACAGAAAGTACAATAATTATAATTTAACCTTTACAATATTACAAATTTACCAATATACCATGATCATCTAGACCACCAGCACCACTCACATGTGTTATTCCAACAAATGAATCTGTAATGTCTATATCATCAACGGCTTATTACAACTTCCATGGTGATCACTTGGAACCTGACACATCTTGACTAGAACTGTCAGCCATCTTCAGTGAGAACTTATTTATAGACTATCCAGTTCAAGGTGAGATAATAAGTCACAGTGACATTATGGGATTTCACAAGATGTTTTGTCACAGTGAAAGGAGATCAACTGCAGGTTTATCAACCAGCAGTAATATTTACATCTACTTTCCTTTAAGATTAAATATCAAAATATTAAAAGCTGAAAAAATTCCCTTACTGATTATAGATATACATTGTAAAGACTCAAGAATCCTTAACTGTAGCAACGCTTAAAATAACTTTAGTTCATTAAACGGAAGTGATGAAATTAAAGGTCCATTTCCATCTATACTTATCCAATAGTTTCTCAAAATGAAAGTAAAAAGATACAACATTTATAAGCAAGTATGCTTGCAGTCAGATTTTTTCCTCTAAAACAAGTCAGAGCAGACATATTACTTCTGCATTTTTATAGTTGTAGAAGTTACTCACCTGGATGACTCTCCCGCTTTAAGCCTCTTCCCAGGTGAAACACCACGGACATCACTGCTGATCTCTGATTTTCTTTTCATCTAAATAAGGAACAAAAAAGGGATTCACTACAGTGTGAAATAATCACAAAAAAACTCAAGTCAGGTTCACTGGCTAAGAACTTAATTACCAAGGTTACATGGTCACATCTTACCCTATCAGGAGCAGTGTAACAGCACTCTCAAAGAAATCCTAGTCAACTAAGCCAGGAAACTGACTTAAGTTTTTTTTGTGAAACTGGGGCCAGCTGTAGTGTTTAATTTGGAAAGTAACGACAGGCACTACAACACAGTCTGTGTGAAAACTGAATACAGGTGAAGTTGTACATGACATGATAAAAACAGCTCTCTAACAAAACAAAAATGCTCATTTATTTCATGTGCACATCAAAGAAATTACATCAACTAACAATTTGTACACCAGCATTTGTACAAATGTGTACATCACTTTCTCTTTTTCTAATAAAGCATTCATTAATGGGATAACTCTGAACAAGTCAGTTTAATTTTAACCAAATAGTCTTTTGAATGATCAATACAATTGTATTTTCAAAGGAAATTAATCATAATTTTGAGGTACAAAATAAATGACTCAGAGGATAAACTTCCTAGTACTTACCAAATTCTTGTCCAGAGAACCTGGAAACCGTGAGCGCAAAGTGAAAGGAGAGACCGACTCAAACTGATCTTCATATTCATCCTCAGAATCTCTCATTTCAGTGTTTCTGTCGCCCAGATACATATCTCTTTCTTCCTCGTCCTCTTCCTCTCCTCCTTCCTCCTCTTCCTCTTCTTGTCTGCTGCATGTATCAATGGGGTCTTCTTCCTCCTCAGTGTCATCATGTAGAGAAGGGAAGGCCCCCTCTGCCACAGAAGAGGCAATATTTAACTGTTGGTATGCTGTGGAGAGGCCATTAGTGTTATCATTACTATTACACAGGACAGGTTGGTCCTCTAGACTGTTTTCCCTGTCCGAAAACACACCCAAATCCTCCTCCTCCTCCTCTAACTGCAAGTCCTCATCCTCATCTTCCTCATCTCTATCCTCATCCTCATCACCCTTTTCTGAGACACTGTCACAGTGATTAGACTGAGATTGTTGATCGTTCCTTGTATTACTGGGACTGGCCAGTCCCCCGGATGCCTCTCCATTACTATTAGCATGTGTACATGGGGAACTGGCGTCTTCTCTAGCGCAATCAGAACAATGGTCTTCTCTAACACAATCAGCACACTGTGAGTCTGCACTCTGGGAACTGTGCCTGCTCTGACACTTCAACTCACTGTTGCCACAGCCACAAGCCTCACTGGAGTGACTGGGCTGGTTTTCAGAAGCTCTACTACACCTACAGGCAAACGTCTCCACCACCACCCCCCTCGTGCTCCCTGGGTTCTTTATACCACAGTCTACATCTTGTGTCGGGTTTGAATCCTGACAAGTGCAAGTTATCTGTTCGTTTTCTACCTCCCCGCCTGATGCTGAAGGTGAGACCTCGTCATGTTGGGGATTACAACTGCTGCCTGGTTGTTCTGCCCTGCTCTTCTCTGCCATGCACCTTCTGCCGCGCAACTCCCTGCTGCTGCTGCAATCAGAAATAATCACTCTACATACATAACAACTTCAGTGTGCGTGTGCGTGTCCATGTGCGTGTATGTGTGCGTGTGCCTGTAGGTGTGTGAATGTGTGTCTACATGGCTGAAAGCATTTGCAGCCAGACTTACATGTTAAACACCAGAGTTGCTCATATTCAGTGTCAGGTTTAATGAAGAATCCTGCTGTCACCAATAATCACACTGCCTTTATGACAACTATGACATAATCAATGCACACCTGACACACCTCATATTAAACATAACGTAATAAACTCAAGGCATCTGTGCAAAACTGAATGTCTCACTGGCCCATAAATGCCATCACCAAAACAATCATGGTATCTAATCATAGTCCTTAGTTGATGAATCATACAGCATATATCAGTTTTTCAAAATGTCAGGAAAAGAATCAGAACGAAAACATGGTTGTCTACCTTAAATTCAATGTGTCTGTAACAGTATTACAAGGAGTTTTACAAACACAGGCATCCTGTAGGGTTGGCTTCCCTTAATTCTGAAATATATTTCAAAATAAATACATCATTAAATATACCCACCTTTCAAATTTTTTCTGTCTCCTTGTTTTGTTACATGTCAATTTGCCCAGATTTTCTTCCAAAGCACCTGGACCGATGCCAGGAACTCGTCGCAAGTCACTAACACTAGCAAATGCTCCAAATTTCTGAAAAGAAATATTATAATGAGGTACAAAACCAATAACCTATCTATATATAACATGTGGATGTGACAACAGGATGTGGTCCGGAAAGTCTTCCCAGAATTTCATAAATGAAAACATTACGCCTTTATTGATACAGACATGACTCTTATATTAAATTTCAATTAATTTTAAAATCAACATTATGCACAAAAAAAAAAATCCGTATGCAACGTTATGATTCAGTAATCTCAATGAATCAGAAACATAGTCGAGTCCTGGAAACAATTCTTAGAAATACAATTAAACTAGTCAAAATCAAGTAGCGCAAGACCAGTTTTGCTCTATATTCAAATGTAAAGACTTCACAAGTCATACTATGTGATTTAATCATCAATATTTCACTGAGGTAAGATCAGCAAAACTAATAAAATACTTCTCATTGTCTATATCTTGCCTGCCAAGCACAATTACAAGTAAGTTATGCCGCACATGTCTACAGTGAAACATCAAAAAAATGAGTCAGGAAAAAAATACAAGCACAAGGTGAACTCTCTCATAACCTATACATCCCTTTATCACTTATATTTTCACCACATATTCTAAAGTAATTTTTGTTGCAAACGAGCTCAGTTAGTAAAAAAATCCAAAAGCTTTTTTTTATTTAATTTCCTATAAAAGCATATCAAAAACATTGTTTTGCAACCTACAGCTTTGAACAATGTATGATGGACAAAAAAATGTGTTTCTCAACTAGATCCATTTTTTTTTGCAAATATGACATTGACAAGCATAATTCATTTATAAATATTTCAGAATTCATTCACAAATCTGCTTTGGGATTTTAGTCAAACAGTTACAAAATTACCAGAAATCAATACTATCAAATCATCATGAGGATACCATTGTGCACTGTGCATCCTATTTCTAGGTAAAATGTAAACCTAACAAAACAGTAATTGGCACTCAATGTTTAATATTAAGCATTGCCACATTCAGTAAGTGTCAAAAATGACATGAAGGAAGACAGCAGAGCTTACTATTGATATTTTCATGTTAATTATGGATATATGTGAACATCATTTTGTCAAAATAAAAAAAAAAAAAAACTTGTGAAAACAGCTTTTATTTCTTGTCTGTGAATCATACATTTTTCCACCTACTTTACTTTTTTTACCAATTCAGTGACAAATTAGAGTAGTGTAAAAAAAAACCTCTTCCCAAATAAAACCAATTTAAGCACTTGGGAAAAATGACCTGGAATCACCCCTGCCTCTTACCTTTCTGTAGTCAAAGATGGCCTCTGCCTTGGTTCTTCCAATACCAACTAGGCCTGCTAAGTCATCTACGGAAGCCGAGTTGATATCTAATCTCTTGCCCCTACTGGTGGCCATGAGATTGCAGGCATCTGAGCTGGAGACAGAGAAATAATAGGACTTTAAAAGACAGTACAATCTGATGTGGTTTTGGCCAGTTACCTCAGCAACCTTCTAGCATTTAACAGACTTCGTTGGGTTCCATAGTAGGATAAGAAACTCTATAAATGCAGGAGTTTAGGACCACTTATCCTCACTTATTAGCAGAAACATGCATTTCTTGCAAAAGCATTGTTATAAAATTATACTTTTGAGAAAAAGTACTCATTTTGTCATCAATAAAAATCTGCACAATAAGTCTGAAATTCTATTGGAATCTTAAATGCAATTAACTTAATCTAAAAATATAAAACAAAATTAATTAACAAAATAAAAAGCATGGCAAATTACAATTGATGTTTAAGATATATTCTTTGTTTTGCAGATCACAGCGGAAAACTGAAACATTACTTGATATCAAAATGACTTTGTATGAGTACCTATACAATATTAATAATCAACTCGATGGCTTTTATGTTACCATCCAAGGGTCTGGTCTGAAGTCAATATAACACTGAGAGAATGATAAATCAATTCTAGATATGATTCTCAGGACAACAGGAAATTATCTATCCTAAATTTCTCACCTCAACTCACTTGCAGTGGGAACAGGATAAGCATTGTCTTAATGAACGAACTCATATGAACTCAAATGAACAGAACAATACAACAGTGCCTCGTCATCGATTCCCACAACAATCTGAGAGTGCTCTATCATCCATTAACACCTATGATGATGACTCCTCTGTTCAAATCATGTTAGACTAACCTTGTGCCACATTGTTTAAATATTCGGAAGAGTCATGATTCACGTCATGAGTAATATTGGAGTTTTCACCTGCTTCATTAGCTCACTTCATAGTAAGTTTGTTAGTGATACTTCAATATGAAACACTTATATATATATATATATATATATATATATATATATATATATATATATATATATATATATATATATAAGGCACCTATTCCTGGCTTACTAGTATTTCTCATAAATACGTTCTTTTGGTGACAAATAATACCCTAAAGTCTTGCCACAATAAACTGTGACTCGGTTGGGCAGAGTAACTTGTAAAATGTACATTAAAGGCTACATTAGTAAATGATGTACAGAGACAATAACAAATAGCACATTACCAATATTATTAATATCATCGTCACTAGTAATTATCAGCTCAATAATTTTTGTCGCTTTACTGTCAAATGCTTGGTTCATGTATAAATGATACTAGTCATGCAAACTCGGGTGTGATAATATATCAGACAAATTCCATCTACCATTAATCATACCAATCAACACCATCAATGCTATATCGATCATTGAATACACCTGTCGAGTTAATATTATTAAATTGGTTACACAATTAACTCCGTTCCCGTGCGTCTCAATTTTTTCAACGCCGGTTTTGTACATTAAAAATGGTCAATTTTGGTGTTAGATTAACCAACACACTGTACCATCAATTAGTCACCGGCTTCTTGCAAGACACTTACATATTTTCTTGTGCGTAGATATTTCTCGCGGATTATAAGTATGCAGTGAAGCTAGAGCACGACTACCTTGCGAAGAACCACTATCCTCTTCCTGTTCACACGTGGGGGAGGTGACGTATTATATATTTTCTTCCTATAATTATTCCAAATTTTGAAGCTTTGGGAAGCTGATATGTAAGCTGGGAAACATATCTGTCAATAAAGGAAAAATCAGATAAATTTACCTCACTAAGAGGGTGCATTTTTCCTCTCAAATGCTGGATCTGTCAAAGACCTGCAGCACCCGCCATCTTGGTTGTACCTGATGACGTCACGAATCCGGAAACTAACAACTTAGGCGCCACCATCGCAGTTGTATCTACGCACAAGAGGAGACCACTTACGATGCTCACTTAGTTATATAATTTCTTCTACTTTAATCATACAATTATTACACCCGAAAAGAAATGATCGACGGTAAAGCTCTTTCCCTTTTAGGCCGTATTCTGAGAGGATTTTAAGGGGGTGGGGTGGGAAAGTGGTCGGACGTTTCGAACGATACAGGCAGTGTAAAAATAAGACAAAAATATAGGCCTATAATTACATGTATGTTAACTGTTAATATATATTACAATTCTTTGATTAAAGTTTTTTAAATACGTAAAATACAAGCATATTAGGTAGACCGCGGCTAGTTGGATCAGAAAGACACCTTTGACCTTGGAGAACCAACTGTGAATGAGTTAGAAACAAAACTGGTTTAAGAACAATATGCCCTAGCTATAGGCCTGCCTATGTGATTTCACTATTTTGCAAATATAATGCCAGATGACTCCCAATATGACAAAAATATCAAATCTTTGTATGAGATTCAAATTTCCACAATAATTACATCCTAAACAACAGATAGAAATATAAAAACAATTTCATCTTACCACCAAAACGGCGATTTTCGCAATTATTCTGAAATCTGTGCTCGCCGTCGGTGTTTCATAGCGACCCTCCGTGATTATCTCTTAAGAGATTATTACAAAAACCACGCGCTAAAAAGATCGACCAACTTTGAACAGAATATCGGAACAGATTCATATTAGTCTAACCACTGGAAAGTATGGAAAATTTGTCGTTTACCCCAGGTGGACAGTTTCAGTAACAACCTCTCACTTAAAATGAGCCTTACCTGTTGTAATTTGCATAATAATAATTTGCTCGTATTGTGAGCTGTCTTCCAGAATACTCACATAGCAGGTGGACAGAGTTGGGTGTAGACGTAACTGTGGTGCATGGACAATGTCGAGCTTTTATATATATCAGCAATTATCAGGAAGAAGCAAAGGCATTTTTGTGAGTGCTATTTCTTTCAATAATAACCACCGATATTAAATACTAATGGCGCAGACGAATGAAATAATATTTACGGAAAATATTTACCAGTATGACAAGAGTCCTTGTACTACCATTCCCATTGTTACTAGTATGTCACTCAGAATGGTAGAATTCATTGGTTACAATGCATTGGGACTCTAAATGTACGGGATGAACGGCGCTCTCATCTGACTTGATGATAATCCAAGTTTGCTTGAAATCTTTTAACTTAGCTCTGCCTTTTTAGCCGTTTGGACATTTTGTGTGCCCTTTACTATATCCTTGACTAATAACTGCTGTATTCTTCGAAGGAAATTTGTAAATGCTCTCTTTTGCACTTCTGCGAAATATGTCAGCTTGTACTGCAATAAGTATTATAACTTTTTATATCAAGAGCAATTATTTTAAGGGTTGTAGCAATAACCCCCCCATCCCACCCCGCAAATGAAACGCGTTCGCGTTGTGTTATCAATGTTTCTTATTTTAGCAAGAAGTCTCAAAACAGTTATATCATTAACTATTTCCAGATCAAAATTTTAGAGTAAGGCAACCTTGTTTTATTTCTGAGCTAGCTGAGCCTGAACATCAGACAAGTCAATAAACAGGCACGCCATTTCAAGTACCCACTCCCTGTGGTTTTACATGTATTGTTCGCATGTTAAAAACCTGCCATTGAGTCTGAAGTTGTAAACATTATTTTTTTCTTTTCAGAACCTCAACGAGATCCTGTACAACATGCGCCTGCAAGTCACCTACGGTGCCTAGCCTTTGTTTCACATCCAGGAACCCCACGCTCATTCTTGCAGCTTTCATGTGAAATCTGAATAAATATTTTTGTAATTCAGCGTTTTTTATTTTGTTATGAGATTATGATGATAGAGATAGTAGTAGTGATGAGGGGAAATGAGTAAGTTTATTAAAATTTCGTGTTTGAAGACTTCCACATTGAACCTGGTAAATCTGATCTTTAAATGTGATCGTATTTTTATGTGATTGGCGGTTTCTATGGTTCCTAAAGAGATCTAAAATTGTAAAAAGCCCAGCATCCTGTAAATAATGAAATTTGAGCATTTTAGTTATTTGAGCACACTATAAGAAAATGTTTAACACGGTTTCTAACAACCTACATTTATAGGTTGAATTTGTATAAATCTGTTCTCATTCTCTGTACCAAAGTGAGAAAATTAAATAAAATACCTGAAATACATTTGGCATTCTTTCATGTAATATTTAGATCAAATTCGAATTTCACAAATTCCTAAATGTGCAGTAAATAATGGTGGTTTATGCTGTTTAATCGAATCGAGCATTTCATCACATGTCGGTATGAGATACGAAAAGTGAGAGACTAGACTGGGGAAAAGGAAAAGATTAACACTTTGGAAAAAAAACCCAAAAGTTCATTTTCAAAATTTTCTGGAAGGAGTGTATTGCATTGTCTTCCCCCACCACCTTCATGTTTTCCATAACAATTTTTAAATATTTATTCAACGCGATGACAAAATAATTCACACATACAGATGTGTACATCACAAAGGTGACAACGTTCGTGAACAGAAAACATTAAACCTTACATTAAACCTTAAGTGTTAATATTAATGTTGTAAGACAGTCCAATAACGGAATAACACCCTAATTGCGGAAATAGATATCAGGGAGAAATATTGTGAAATTAAATGCAACCTACACCATCGCCAAACAAATGCAAGCGCATCAGAAGAAATATGGTGTTCATCGCAAGGCTTTCAATGTGCTTTTCTATCTCCGTCATATTCTCTGTCTATCGCCCATTTTATTTTATCTTCTAAATCAACACGCAGGTGTTCCAGACCTACTGAATATTGGAAAACATCGTTTGTAATTCTTTTTCGCAATTAATAGTTTTACTTGCAAGTCTTTCGAACTTACAGATATTGTTATACACATGCACCGGTATTGTAACGCGGCCATCGGCGTCGACCGAAAATAAAGTCCTTAACAGAAGATTTGGTGGCATTTTGTCTGCCCGATCTACGTAGATTTAATAAATCGGGAATAGGCCGATTTGCTAAGCTGGACGATGTCTCTGGCTGAAGATAACAAGACTTTTATACACAATCATGAATTCTGAAAGATACAGATAAAGCAACAAAGACATGTCGTCTGCACGTAATGAAAAAACAAGGCGTAATGTTTGATTGATAATTTGGCCTTAAACAAGACATCTCTTTATTACAAGTTTTGTTTTTTTTATGTGAAATGTCCTAATGACAGAAAATATAGATAGTTTTTTAGAAACAAATCAGTTTAGAATAAAGCACCATTTTTGATCAAAATAAAGATACAAATCATTAAGTTTACAACATAAATTAATTTCCTTAGTGGGACTAATTGCAAGAATACATGTACATACACATCTGTTAATCACAATTGTAGTATTAAGGTAATTAAAATCGGTACAGGTTAGAGTCGAGTCACACTATTTATTTTGTATCACTATCCAAGGCTTCAACTACAATTCACAAAAATGTCTTGTTATACATAAGGGAAAAGAAATACGTGAAATATGTGAAAAGAAGTACGAAATGAAAACAACAGGATTTATTCCTGTCATTTGTGTTACATTTGTCTAATTCTTCCCATCCTTGTTTACGTATTTAAAAAAAACTTAAAGTTTTCAAGTTGTATTCATTTTGATAACACTCTCAAAACAAAGTAACTAGTGGCGGAATAAGGGGCGGGTCAGGGGGTCCTGCCCCCCCCCCCCTTCGGTTTCTGGAAAAAAATCACACCAATATTCCCCTCTTGATGTAAGAATTTTGAAGAGCTGAATCATAGTTCTAAACACCAAATGGCACCGTTTGCCCCCCTAAACACCGAACCGCTCACCAAAGGGACAAGAGTCGGCCTGATTCGGCCTGTCATTCTTACAAAAAACTGGACCCCCCCCCCTTCAAATAATCCTGGATACGCCCCTGAGTAACTCACTAGTCTTGTCATTAAGGCATCGGTCTTCTCCTCCAATAAACTGTTCACAATCTACATCAATCCTCCACTTACAATATTTCTCATATAAATACATGCACATGTATACTCAGTCGTTGTAAAATTTTGCATCCTTTAAGTTCGAATCAATAAGAAGAAATTTTAGCTGCCAACAATATAACCCTTTAAAGTAGGCGACATATATTAAGTGATTCACCCCAACACCACCCCATTTCAGTCCGAACCCTATATCCCCAATATAAATATTTCACATCAGTATTTACACAGTGTTTACTGTAACACTTTCTTCCCATCGGTCGCTGTCATGTGCAGTTTTTATTTTGACTTTTTACACTTTTATTTATTTATTTATTTATTTATTTATTTATTTATTTATTGCAATGAATTCACACAATCATGATATATATAGTGCATATTCTTATTCACGTCAAAACCGAATCTATCCGCAGTTACTGTGTATTTACGGAAGAAGTGCCATTCTACACTGATTAACATTATACAGTTAACGGGGAGAAAATCGAAATGCGCTGATCCTTAATGTTGCATTTTAAGGGTGCTTGATAAATCCCATGTGAAAACCTTAACAATTCCGATCACCAAGGTCTTCTTTCCAATCTTCACCATCAGCCTTGTTTGTGAGCAGTGGTTCAAATGTGCTAAAATGGATGCGCTTTTATTGCAGCAAACACAATATTGTGAAAAATGAAACTCCTATTTGCATATAGTCACACCTATCGCAACAAGGTGAATATGTGTAGAGGACATTTCTATGATGCGGGAGACCTTGCTACGGCCAAAACTTAACGAGGATTGCAACGTTTTTTATTCCTACATTTTCACCGCCTTCACATCTGCTCCACCTTGTTTGCGTTCTCATCCGAGACTTTCCTATACATGTAGCATGCAGACACTACCACCAGTACCTGTGAGCAAATGAATAATACAGTGTAATTGAAGACGTATCATAAGAAAAAAAGACTCCCATTTTTTTCACTGGAAATATGTAGCAAGAGATCACAATGTGCTTTTACTTTACATTCATCAAATTGAAGGTTTAAATCGTTTTAAATGAATAAGAATCTAGAACATTTTGCACCAGTCAAGATATTTTAACGGAAAATTCAACTTACTTCTAATATTGCTACGGCGACCGCTACACCGATAACGATGTCGGAATATCCCTTCAAGTAATCAACGACTTTCTGGTAGCAGCCCTAAAAATGACGCAGAAGATATCGTAAGTGTCCTTATATAACTAGGAATACTAACAATTCAGTTTAGTTTTAAGATTGTTTAGTTTTGGCTTTTTTTTCAGTGATCATCTACACACAAACAGACACGACCACGCATGCACAAACGCACACACTCTCTCACATAGGGACCATTCCCAGACCCTATCGTACTAACTGTAGATCGATCTATCTCCGAGGGGTTTCTCACAAAATTGCAATCAACTTAAGCGGCTTAGATGTCTGGCACGTCTACTGAGGCTGCATGGGAGTAATTAATTATCGTTCAGCAGCTTCAGTATAGGAGTGCCAGATATCTAATCCGCTTAAGCTGAAAGCAATTCAGCGAGAAACCCCTCGGAGATGGATTGATCCTGTTAGGTCGATCTAGGTATGGGAACCCAGTCATACACTACTCACCTCCTCTGAGTAAGAGGAATTTCCCGGCGATATCACAAAGCAGTTCCTTGCGTTGATATCTGTCAGATGAACTGTGCCGTTTAAAAACAAGGTGGCATTATGGCAACAAGAAGCTGGAAGAGCGATGTTCGAATACGTGGCACTGTCCGACACATAAGTCGCTGTCCATAAAGGCGCATTGTGAAAGTCGCGGAAGTTTACGACGCCGCAACAAGAAAACTGAAAAGTGAGTATGCATTCACATAAATATTTAAACCTGCGTTCACATCAGACTATTTCAGATCGAAAACAACTAAGTTGTGTTACAGAAGATGATGGCTAGTTTTACAAAAGGACAAGAGTCCGACAATTGGTGTAAACCTTAGGACCAAAATTGTAGACTATTTTAGTTAAAGATTCACTTTTCAAGCCTACCTAAATAAAGTAAGCATTACTATAAAACGTTAACAATTATTTCTTGACATGAAATAGGTAAAATATTTTATTTATTAAATAGAACTGCAACTCATTTATCTTGATTCGAAGCAGATTTCAATTTTGGTCAAAATGTTAATTCAAAATTTGGGAACTCTAGTTGTTTCACGAAACCTACTCCAGAAAAGCGAGGGTAGGCCTATTAGTCAGATGAAGTACTTTACAAATTATAGTCTTCGAAAGAAACCAGTTGCATTGAGCAGTTAAAAAATTATTTACGGCTTACCTGTACTTGAAAGAAATTCCAAGCTATTGAAATTGCATCACCGCCATTATAACCCCTAAAACTGTCTTTGATCGTAGTGTTCATGCCATTCTGAACGTAAGATATTAACTGAAAAAGTTGATACAATTCAAATGAAGCTGATGGCTTCAGCGGCAGAATTATTGCAGAGAAAAACAAAAGACAAGCTGCGAATACTAACCAATTAATCTAGAGTCAAATACTGTTTTTTTAAAGGAAAAAACCAAAGGAAATACTGACAAAGATATTGACCGATGATCTGGATAGAAATAGTATCCTTGCGTCTGATACAACTGATACTAATGTAAAGCTTTGACTGTGGCATAATAAGTGTCTAGTTAACCTGCAGTGTACCTTCACATACCAGTGTGTGTGTGTGTGTGTGTGTTGGGGGGGGGGGGGGGATGACTGAGACCCCATTGAAGCAATGCGTGTGTTTACAATGAGACTTGCTCCAGTGCAATGTGAAGGCATACCTGGTCTTCTGCAACAAACATCATAATGACCACCACTGACTCTGCCAGAACTATGCAAGTTAAAACAACGGCGTACTACAGAGATAAAGAAAAACATTATTAAGTATTGGGTGCATACGTTTTTTTTAAGATTTAACAATAACAAATACAAGTACCTGGGATATTTCTCTGTCAGAAATTATTTCCTCTTAAATTATCTAATTTATTGATGCCAAACACAGAAAAACAAAACCAGCTTGCATCCATCAAAAGATTATATATTTTTGGTTACTAATGAAAACAAGACACATAAAAAACAAATAATATTTATACATACCATTTTCTAATTTTTAAAGAACGACCCTGATCAATGAAATCATCATTAAAAAATGCTGTGCGGGTTTCACTTAATTTTATAACACAGGCACATAATTTTTTCAAAATTTATCTTAGAATAACGCTGTACATTACCAGCAGCAGTAGGGCCTGTTTCTTGGCACACATGCCTATGAAACCGGTCAGTCCTATAGCTAGTAATACCGCTCCAATCACCAAGCAAATAGTGGCCAGGTCCTGGAATATGGCGGCCAGGTCAAACCTAGGCCCGCCCACGCTGCCCAGCATCTCCGGGAGCTGAGACTTGAGGAAATCGGGATACCACTTCACCAGCGCACCCAGGACGAAGACGCCTAGTCCCGCAAGCTAACGAGATAAATCAAGAAGACGAATTAAGGAATTAGATGCGATCCTTTCTCTCTCTCTCTCTCTCTCTCTCTCTCTCTCTCAATCTATTAATTTTAAATTAAATTTGCTCTGCTTTGACTCTACATTAAGTTTAATATTGTTTTGCGTAAATTGACAATGTGCATGCCGAACTTACCATGAAGACGGTATTGATGAAATGTAGTACTCCCTTCGCTATACTGTAAAATTCCATTTTTGTATTTTGCGACAACAAGCGATTTTAACACATTCATCCAAGTGCTTGCATTATGGGTGTCTCCTCCTGTTTTCAGCTTATCCTTTGGGGAATTTTGTACTGTAACTATAAGCTGAAATTCATAAGTGATTAGATTAATTTTAGTGTTCACTGTTTGCAATATCAGTTATAAATCATGTTTGGATTAAGGTAGCCTTGGCCTCCTTGTTGCTTTTTTTCTGGTCCAAACAAAATTGTCCTTCTCATGTAGCCTTGTTAACACCTTTTTGAGTATATATTTTGAAAGTAACTAATACCAACACGAACCCATACACCAGAGAGCAGTAAACGTCTTCTCATAACAATATTGACTTTATTAAAGAAATTATTGTTGCGATAATAGTTTGTCAACAAAGCTGCTGGCGAAATTCGACTAGAGGTCCGCATGCAACAAATACATCTTTGTTAAGGCAATGTTAACGCAATGGAATAATATCAGCAATTTTGAAAGAATGTGGCTTTTCACTGGGTTTTTGTTTGTCTTAGAATGTTAAAAGGGACTAGCGTGTTTTATTGGTTCTTGTTTTCTCAAGGCATTTTTTAAAAATCTTGTTTCCTTTTAATCATGAAGGCGTGAAAAAATATTTAAAGCGAAAATGACAAAAACCGATGTGTACCTTTCGGACGCCAGGGGCTAACTAGAGAAAATCACAAACAATCAGGTCTCAATCACCAGAGCGTACACACAAAGTATTTATCGAACAAATTTACTCTTAATTAGTCAGAAAGCGCGAGCTATAGGTGAATACGTCAGCAAACGTCATTAAGGCTTGCCAAAGTGTCTCAGGCTACTTCAAAAACCGCCCGCATAAAAGTCGCCCTATGTAGAAGACGCAACCAGTCCACCCCCTCATTTTGCCGTTTTCTGGGTCTACCAGAAGACGGTCAGAATTTTTCAAGTTTCAAGCATCTATTTTTCATTTTTATTTATTTATTTATTTATTTATTTATTTATTTATTTATTTATTTTGTCGAAAGACAGTCAAAAAAGGAGGATGGACCAACAAAGATAATTGGGAAGACTGTCAGAAAACATCTCTGGATCCGTCCCTGTAATTATCTCCGCACGATCGACTTGGTTCACTCGAATCTTTAACATCTAGACACCAGCCACAATTCAGACGAGAAACCCAATAGCCTAATAGGCTAGACCTCGTTCATTTATCCATCTTGTGCACTGCAGCAAGAATCGCTGCCTAATCACAGGCCCTCAGGGGTTCAGCTCTGAGTCGCATTTTTTTCATTTATTCATTTTTATTTTTGAAGAGGATTTCAACAAGGGAATGAGCCGATCAATCCCACCCATTTTTATACAACTTGGTTGAACCACGGCAGGCAAAATGAAAGGCTTCTTAGCAAGTAAACTTTGAGGAAAAAAAAGAGAGAGAGAGAGAGAAAGAGAGGAGAATTCCAAAAGAAATTAGCATGTTTATTTGAAAAAGAGAAGAATATATTTAGAATTTGAATTGGAGTGCACGTACAGGAGATGAAACATTTTCTGAAAGACTGCCGTCTTCTAGAATTATATGATCAGTTGCAAAACGTTTGTAAACAGAAATCTTACTTCTACCAGTTTTATTCATACTGTGCTGGGTTTGATCCTACGTTTTATTTGAAGGTGGTCGCAAATCGCAATGGAGTGTTTTTTCACACATAATAAATCCTCGTTGTTAGGTTTAACTAAATTGTTGGTAAATCAGTGAACATTAAAACCAACAAACAGCTAGCAAAGGTGTGCTTATTATATCTTGTTTATAAAATTGTAATCGTGCATTTGCCGCTGTTTTGGAAGTTCGCGTCGCGCTTATCGCTTTTTTAATGATAAAAATTGCCAAGTAGAGTAAAAATATAAAATTTACATCTCTTAACTAGAAATATATGTCAGAACAATTCTTGTTAGTTTAAATGTTTGAGCGACCAACATGCGACTCTGTCAATCGAGTATGCGACAAAAATTCTTACATATCGAAAATATCTGAGTCCTGCATCGTGAATTTAATGACTTTATTGTTAATATATGAATTTATGATTAATTTATTTAATGCTTAATTCTAATCGTACCGTCATCACACCGAATTTTAAAGTGTTGTTTTTCGTGGGGTGGGGGAATCAATAAAAAGGAGCACCCTTCCAGGAAATCCTGGAGCCTCCCCTATATATAATGTACCCCTTCACTAACATCAAGAGGTGTTGGTTATTACATCTACAGCGGGATATATTTATTATGTACGATTCTAGGGACTAATCCGACTCGGGATAGTCTACATATCTAGGTTACACAACACCGCAGTTTTATTTCCAAAGCAAAAAAAAAAAAATTTTTTTACCTGGATCAGCTTTATGCAAGAGATCTACGTGACAGAAATAGCCAAATCTTAAATTAAGTTCAAGTGAGAAGGGGCAATTGAAAAGACTCCATCAAAATTAATTTGCAAGTCTGGTGATTATTTTTCCATCTGTACACGCCTTCCGTTTTAACAAAAAGAAAAATTAGAGAATACAGTTTTATTCAGCTATTATAAACAGTAACATTCAATTTCAAAAGGTACTTCAGTAATCATTAATGAATCATGTAAACGCAATGTCTCAATAACAGATGCCCTCGGGCCGTGGGGAAAACCCGTCTAAACCCTTCGTGGGGAATGCCGGGAAAGTGCCCACGCCCGGATACTTCAATCTTTTTAAGATCATCACTACAGTTTTTTTTATTGGCACGGCGCCATACAGTTCATATATATCGTCCCATTTTAGACAGCATGGTGCAACTGAAAAAACTCTCGTGACTACAAACTATTTTCTATATACACTATACTGGTACACAAGATGAAGCACAAGAATTTATCAAAGTACATGTAATTCCTGCTTAAAGAGGTACTGAAGACAAGACATTTACTAGTCTTAACACAATTAAACAGAGGCTTATTTTAACTTCATCAAGGGGGATGAAGTCATAAATAAAGGAACTCGATCCTTTTACAACTGAAAGCACACATCAGAACTTGGATATAGTTCTCTCTCATGATAAAATATATAAAAGTTCAGGTAATATGATAATTACCCAGACACATCAATGATTGAAATTAAACTTTGACATATAACTGACTAGAAGTTTCTGAAATGTAATTTTGCCCTGAAATTGCAACTACCTGTATGATACAAGTAAAAAATAAATCAAGCTTGCTTCGACATATTTCACTTTTCACATTACACTGTATGACCGTCCATGCAAATTTCAATATGAATTTTTGGGTCCGGAGAAAAAAGGTGCATATATGATGAATTGGGTATATTTGTCAACTATAACACTTGAGAAAATCATAATATTAGTAATGTGCAATCCTAAATCTTGAGAGATGACTGTGTGCACCCAGCCATCCCTCACAGGGATCTGTGTACAAAACATATAATGAAGTATCTTCTCAAACGTAAAATATTTCATTATAGATTTTGCACAAGCTATCAATGTAAAACCTCTTCATGTAAAAGCATTTACATCAAGTCGGATTTTACAAAGATGTGAGGGTTAGTTGAGGTAAGTGTGCGGATTATGATGTTCTCAAACGATATACTGACGAACAACTCCACATCAAAAGAACAAATATGAAAAATGACTACAACACTAAGATTGAAATAAAACACAGACGACCATAAGTGGTGGCAACACCAATGCTTTGCGAGCGAAAACCTATCTGCATTTAGAATGTGGATAAAGTAACTGGATATTCTATCTTAAATTTTAATAATAATTGTTGAGGCAGACTTAATATATTCACATCTTATTCATTTGAACATTTATGGAATAAAGAATGATCATACTGAATTTCAGTTTTCTCCTAAGCTATTGGAATGTTTCATTGTCATAAGTGTCATAAGTGAAAAAATAAAACTTACTAAATACAATTACAACCGACTCGTATCTGTGACCCATGAAGCTCAACAATTCTCATTATATAAACGACTTGAGTACATTATTCAATTGCATTTTTCTTACATTCAGTAAATTGCTCGTCATTAACATTCCACATTCTCTAAAACTTTTTGCAGACAAGCCGTGTCTTTAAAAATCAAGACTGCTAGGACGTCCGATTATCAATAAAATTGGCTACAGGGGCTCGTTACTAGCACCATTAAGTGTTTCGCATCTTGAACATTTGGGCTAGGATTGGTGGTATCTGCGTTCATCATTATTTCTGGAAAACTGCCCTTTCGTAGCCTACAAATGAAATGTAGCATGGTATTAAAAGTATTTAAAGTAATTGAAAGCTTGCAGTAATTGCAACAAAGAACATGCAATCCAGTACAGTTTTATTAAAATTTGTATTGGGGCCAGTGAATCCTGACTCAAACCAGTATTTTTTAAGAAAGTTGAGGTCCGAATGGCCAGTAAGGTGAAAAGTTTATGGAAAAGACAGCAACTGAAACAACATTTTAGTCTATTTCTCTCCCCAATAACACGAGTTACCTTTGAGGGTTTTCCAATTCCGTGAAATACCATATGCCCTGGACGCATCCCCAATGCAGTCACCTCGTAGACCATGGCAGGACTCGCTGGACGCTTCCCCAATGCAACCATGGTAGACAGGCCATGGCAGGACTCGCTGGACGCTTCCCCAATGCAGTCACCTCGTAGCAGCCACCTCGTAGACAGACCATGGCAGAGTCGCTGGACGTTTCCCCAATGCAGTCACCTCGTAGAAGGCTATGGCAAGACTCGCTGGCACCAAGGATTGATCGAAGTAGCTGAAGCGTAGATGTGGCCCTCTTCTTGCAGTTGTCAGTGGGAGTTCTATCAAGAACCGCCATAATCGAGTTCTGTTGAAAGAAAGAATTTTGGATTAATGACTTTTCCTACCTATGTAGCCACTCTGCATTCAGGCTTACCTTGAGGGTTTTCCATCTTAGTGAAACACCACATGGCTTGGACGCTTACCCCAATGCAGCCAACTCGTAGACACACCATGGCAGGACTCGCTGGCACCAAGGGTTGATCGAAGTAGCTGAAGTGTAGATATGGCCCTCTTCTCCTTGCAGTTGTCAGTGGGAGCTCTATCGCCATAATTGAGTTCTGTTAAAAGAAAGAAATTCGGATTAATGACTTTTCCTACCTATGTAAACACTCTGCATTCAGGCTTACCTTGAGGGTTTTCCACTAAGTGAAACACCACGTGGTTTGGACGCTTCCCCAATGCAGCCACCTCGTAGACGGACCATGGCAGGACTCGTT